GATCGCCGTGTAGCGAAGCTTTGCAGCAGAGTCACTGGATATCTCGAACTCCAACTCTGTGTCCGAGTCATCGTCTGTGAAGTCATCATAATTGTCGATAACATGCGCAGAGGTGAGTGCAGCCAGTTTTTCCTCCAATGATAAGCCTGAACTTCCAGCAACTGGGGTAGTCGGCTCATTCTCCTCCACTTGTTTCCCCTTGCCTTTAGGATCCGAAACAGCACCACCAGCAGCGGCACGCTTCGGCATGGTCGGAGCACGTTCCTTAGGGGGTGGACGCGCCATAGGGCGATGATGAGCAAAAAACAGCAGCAGTTGGTTAAGAAAGGCTCGAAATGCCTGAGCTGCGAAATGTCTGAGCCCAGTATAATATAGTCTTGGCGACTTCCCATCAGACCAGTGTTCTTGATACAAGTGCTGATTTGTTGCTGATAAGACCTGTGGGTGATCATCAGTAGCCTTGGAAACGCCATGAAATATGAATAGCCAATCAGGAATCCCTTTGGTAAACTCTCGTTAAGCATATTGAATCAATGACAGGGTGTCAGCTGATGAAGCCTTGAGATTGCTTGGATTAAAGAAGCGAAACAGCAGATCCCGAGAAGCTGATGATACGATGTTCGCGTCATGAACATTAAAAGTGTACCAATCGCTTCGTCGCGATAAGGCGAATTCAAAGCTGTGCTCCTTAAAGCCAACTGATAACTCTGCTTCACGAAATGCTGGGTTGAAGACCCTGAAGAAATCCATTGTTCCCTCAATAGAAGTCAATAGAAGTTGGGGATTGTACAAATGCTTATGTTCATTCTTGACTGAAAGTGTAGCTGTCCGCGTCATAGGAGTTGGTCCACAGCTTGAACGAATATTTCCGCCTTGTATGCGAGAAACCATTCACGCCAGAGAGCATAGCTAACAGCTCCGAATTGCACAGAACCATACTCAACCGCTTCCCCCGCCCCGAGAATGTACAGTACCACAAGCACACACCCACAACACTATCCCTTCTTTCGTCCTCTTTGTAAATTCTACCATTATCCTGCGGAATTTCTTGTCCTTCGACGTGTGTAGGAAACGTGCTTGTCCGCATTTCACCCTTGCGTTCCTTCTCTCAACCTGAAAACGACGACGTACGGGCGGGATCCATATGACCACTTGTCCTCGCAACGAGTCGCAGGCTGTGGCTTGTTTCGACGGCTCGGATTTTGGTATTATCCAACCGCGCACGCTGATTTGCATCTGTCAGGTACCGTCGGTGGGCAATAGAGGCATGCAGAGAACCGAACACTACCGCTAGTTCTTCTAGTACGTACAGCCTTGTACATACAGGGCTGTTCTTCGTTGTTCCAATGTCCCACCGAACTTGAAAGTTCATTCGGTTTGTGGAGCTGCCAAGTTGTGTACCTTTGTGATGTAGAGGGTGGGTTGCATTGCGTACATTACAGTACACTACCCCATTTTGCACTTGATATTATTCCACTGTTTTTCACCTGCTCATTGTGCTGTTGAGTGGCCACTGGCCAGTGCTCGCCTTCTGTTGATCGTTCCAATTCGGACTGATCCTCTCAGGGAGGTCATGTTCGTCTGTTGCTAACTGGCGAACTGTAGCTACAGCACTTGATTGCTAAAATCGGGTCTGGCTGGAGCTGTTCTGTGTTGGCTTGTGAAATTTGGGGGGACCATCCAAATCCAGAATGGCTGTGCGGCTCGAAACACCATGTCCTTTCAAACGCTGCTTCCTGTTGGGGAGGGTAAGAAGGTGTGTCCTCCTACGAGTCGGTCAATTCAGTCTGTTCACCTTAGTCCCAAGAATCGAATCGCCTTTCCTCGTCACGGACGTCGTGTGTGCTTGCATGTCATAATGTTGGCGTCAATGTCGCCCGCATCGCGTCTGCTTGATACGATGGAACGGAGAGGTGGAAGGAACTCATCGCGCCAGTGCAATGTTTGATGAGACGATTCTGGATAAAAGCATAGCCTCAGTGTTTCGAAACACATTCGGCGATCTCAGACGCTAGAGCCTCCATCCATAGAACCGTGTCGGCCTCTCTGTTTGATTCTTCAGATAGCCTCTCTGTCTGATTTCTTCAGCACCGCTATCAGCCGTGAGGGTGTCTGCTCCTACGAGCATCTGGCATTTCCTCACGTGCTTTTGGGCAGAAAGTCATTTCGATCCCACAACGCCGTTGTTTATTACTCATTTTGCACCTACGTGCAATAAACCTCATTGTGAACGGCTCGTTTCCGGCGCGATTGTTGACGTCCTCGTTATGGAGCTGAACGCGATGATGCCGATCTTCTGCGGGTCCATCTTCCTCTTCTCCACGCTCGTGTCGTGCGTCGGCACCATGATCAGCGCGGGGGTATTCGAGGAATGCTCGCTTCCAACGGTCAGCCTGGGCCCCGTTGCGAAGCACTTCAACCCCGCGCGACTGAGCGTGCTGTGCCCGCCTGTGATGGAGGAAATGTCAAAGCTCGCGTACCACTGACCAGCGAATGTTATCGTGAAACGTCACGATGGTCGTCTCGAAATGTTACCATGGTCGCTCGTCAACTAATGTCATCGCGAAACGCACCGTCCCTCGCTGCTGCTGCGGCTGCTTCTCGCGACCGCTTTCCGCCGGCTCAAGTGCTTGAGATGTGCATGCGCGATGATCTAGTAAACGTGGGACATTTGGCGACAAGACAGCCCCTTGATTTGCCTTCTGCCACGCTTTATCCAGTTATATTTTCTTTCCGAAACGGGACGGGTGACGTTTTCGGATTTCTTTGGGAAGGGACGTCGCGTCGGGAGTGAGTGGGGTGCGGAAGCCTCGAGATTAGGTGAATCTGCGTTGTCGGGAGCCCGCTCAAGCAGGGTTCTGAATTGCACATACGTAGGCAAATGTAATTCTAGTCATCTATTCGTTATTGTTTTTCTTCTCCTGTTTGGCCTTCACGAGACTCCTAAGACTGGGATTGATGTCGAAGTGAACGTAACAAGAAGAAACTAGGCCCAGAAACAACAATGGAACAGCTATTGATTTGAATCGAAGGAGCGGTGATAGTTGGATGGGATAGGCGTGCTGGTGGCGAGGGTAATTATACCGAGGCAAACAACGCGTACGATTTGTTGCACTGTGGTGTACATTCGAATGAGGAAATAGCGGCTATGTCAAGGGTACAAAGTCATATACAAGTTCGTAATGGCAAATATAGCTACATATAGAGTTGAATAAAACCGAATTCAACCTTAGTGGAGATTGCGGAATGCAAATCACAAGACAGAAATGTACAACGAGAGGATACTATGGATTGTGCGAGAACGCTTAAGGCAGAAGTAGCTTCGTCTTCATCAACTCATTACATCAACCCCCTGCTGCACTGCAGGTGCTGGCAAGTTAAACGAAACCCAGTCGCCACTTTATTCTAAAATATTCTTGCGGTGCAGCCATCTGGCACTGTTCAACAGGGCAAGTTGAGCTCAGTGGAGGCCTTTCAAGAGGTCTCAGAAGTCGTTCCTGGCATTAAATAATCACCTCTCACAGTGCAGTGTCTCCCAGTGCTAGAGAATGAAGTCGAGTTGAGAGTGGAGGAGAAAAGGGGCCCCGGCTCAAGGCTCTGGAGCCATTTCTGAGCGGGGAACAGGGGTTGAAATAGGGATTGGGAATGGGAGAAGTGAAAGGTTGAGGTGAAATGGGAATGGAAAGGGTTCTGAAAGGGAGAATAAGGGGGAGTTGAAAGGGGGAGTGAAAGGGGAGTTGAAAGGGGAGTAGAAAGGGGGTGTTGAAAGGGGGTTCTGAATGGGAGAATTGAAAGGGGGGGATTTGAAAGGGAGAATTGATAGGGGGGGTTGAAAGGGGGTTTCTTTTAAGGGAGAATTGACAGGTGGGGTTGAAAGGGGGTTCTAAAAGGGAAAATTCAAAGGGAGAATTCAAAGGGGGAATTCAAAGGGGGAATTGAAAGAAAGTTGAGAGTAACCACTAGCGCCCTATCTTCACAAAACATCTAACCACTAGGGCTCTATCTTCACAAAACATCTAACCACTAGCGCTCTATCTTCACAAAACATCTAACCACTAGCGCTCTATCTTCACAAAACATCTAACCACTAGCGCTCTATCTTCACAAAACATCTAACCACTAGCACTCTATCTTCACAAAACATCTAACCACTAGCGCTCTATCTTCACAAAACATCTAACCACTAGCGCCCTATCTTCACAAAACATCTAACCACTAGCGCCCTATCTTCACAAAACATCTAACCACTAGCGCCCTATCTTCACAAAACATCTAACCACTAGCGCCCTATCTTCACAAAACATCTAACCACTAGCGCTCTATCTTCACAAAACATCTAACCACTAGCGCTCTATCTTCACAAAACATCTAACCACTAGCGCTCTATCTTCACAAAACATCTAACCACTAGCGCCCTATCTTCACAAAACATCTAACCACTAGCGCCCTATCTTCACAGAACATCTAACCACTAGCGCCCTATCTTCACAAAACATCTAACCACTAGCGCCCTATCTTCACAAAACATCTAACCACTAGCGCCCTATCTTCACAAAACATCTAACCACTAGCGCCCTATCTTCACAAAACATCTAACCACTAGCGCCCTATCTTCACAAAACATCTAACCACTAGCGCCCTATCTTCACAAAACATCTAACCACTAGTGCCCTATCTTCACAAAACATCTAACCACTAGCGCCCTATCTTCACAAAACATCTAACCACTAGCGCCCTATCTTCACAAAACATCTAACCACTAGCGCCCTATCTTCACAAAACATCTAACCACTAGCGCCCTATCTTCACAAAACATCTAACCACTAGCGCCCTATCTTCACAAAACATCTAACCACTAGCCCCATACCTCCACACGCCACGAATCGCCACATTGCAGAGGTGGAGCGCTGCCACAGCTCACAAACCACTAGAACCATCCCAACCCTCAAACCCCAACACTAGCGCCGCTCCTTCCCCAAAGCGCCAGCAATAGCAACGCTTTACCCGGCTGCCAGCACCAGCAGCATACCTCCGCACGCCACGGATCGCCAGATGGCCGAGGCAGACCGCTGCCACACCTCCATCAGCTCCTCCTCCGTCTGATGGGGGCAGGGGCAGCACCGCACAGCAGAGAGCAACACAACGCAAAACAGGACACCATGGAGCAGCACATAGCAACACAGGTAACACAGCAATACAATTTGATTCGATGACGTTTTAAAACAAAGAATAAATTCACAGCGAAAGAATTTTGCAGGCCGCCTTGGAAAATGAATATACGAAGCACACAAAATATCCAAATCCAGTCCCCTCCTCTCACCTCGCACTGCTTCTGCAGCTGCTCCCGCTTCGCCAAACCAAAGGCCCTGCACCATAGCCGAAGCAAATCTGCCTGCATCTGCCTCCCTCTTCGTTTACCCTCCACACCCCTACCTCATCCCAACCCCATCTACCCTACACCACACACCATCCCACCCCACCTACCCCACACCACACCCCATCCCACCCCACCTACCCCACACCATACCCCATCCCACCCCATTGCAACCCTGCTCACCTCGCACTGCTCCTGCAGCTGCTCCCGCTTGGGCATGGCCCAGCTCCACAGCCGCAGCGCCACCTTCACAGCCCTGCTCTGCTGCTGGGGGGTGGGCTCACCGCCTGTACAACAAGGGTGGGGAGAGTGGGTGGGAGAAGAACGGGGGTTTTGCTGGGTGAGAGAAGAAGTGAGTGAGGGTAAGGGTGACACGACCCGTGTAGCAATGCCACCTGCACCGCCCTGCTCTGCTGCTGGAGTGTTGGTTCCCCAAACAAACAAGAAACGGAAAGAACGAATGAAACTCACACTCTTCTATCAGTGACAGCAGCTTGGCGACGAACCCCGCCACCCCTCCGCCGCCCTGCACCGGCCACCAGTTGCCGGTCGGCAGCGCCATCCGGGCGGCAACAGCGAGCGAGACGTCGATCCATTCGTCATCTTCTGGGTCAAGTATGTCCAGCAGCGACTGGGCGGCGTCGTCTCTGGGCGGCAGATCCTGTAGCAGGCCGGCCAGGCCCCAGTCAAAGACAGTTGAGACGGTGGTGCTGCTGCACGTGCCGTCCTCCTCCAGTTCCTGAGAGCGAAGGTGGGGAGAGACGGGGGGGGAAGTGGGGAGGGTGATGGAGAAGGGAGAAAGGAGAAGGAGAGGTGGAAGGGTCGGTGGCGCTGCTGCACGTGGCGTCCTCCTCCAGTTGCTGCGGTGTGGGTGGATGGCGGAGGGGGGGGATGTGACGGAGGGAAGGGGTGGTGGAAAAGGGGGGAGAAGAGGTGGACGGGACAGTGACACTGCTGCACGTGCCATCGGGGAAGAGAATGCAAGAAGAGGGAGAAGAAGCAAGGGAGTGTAAGGGGAGAGCAAAATGGGGGGATGGGTGGGGTTCGGGTGAGGTGGGGAAGGAGAGGCGAGAGTTGTTGGGGGGCAGGTGGGTGAGCGGGGAGGGACCGGGGGGAAATGATCCAAGAAGGAAGGTGGGCGGTTGAACCAGATGTCCCAGGAAAACGGGCGACATGGGCGAACTGGGCCATACCCCAGACAAAATGGAGGCGTGGCATTCCTGCGTTTGAAGAGTCCAATAAATCCTCCATGCATGCACCTCACCTAACCGCTTTGCATCCACCCATCCCCCATACAAGCAGCCTCACATCGTAGCTAACCAGATGGAGAGGCTCTCCATGGCGCCACCCACCCATCTTAACCCATTAACAAACCCCATGCACCTCTCCCCACCCGTCACCCCCCATACAAGTACAAGCAGCCTCACATCGTAGCTGAAGCACATGGAGAGGCTGTGCTCTGCATGGCGCCACCCACCCATCCCAACCCATCCCAACCCATCCTTCCATCCCCCATACATGCCACCCTACTTGCTCCTCAGTCAACCCCCAAACCATCAACTCTGAGGGTTGAGTCAGCTTGAAATCCAACCACCCCCCCCCGTCCCACCCACCGCAACCATCCCAAACACCCATCTCATTCCTCACCGCCCACCCACCCACCCCTACCCAAACCATTCATCCCCCATACGATCTTTGAGGCGCCTAAAAAATCGCCCCACCCACCGCAACGCAACCATCCCAACCCAAGCACCCACTCCTTTCCACCGCGCCCAGAAACCCACCCACCCCTACCCAACCCATTCATCCCCCATACAAGAAGCCTCACTCACATCGTAGTTGAACCAGATGGAGAGGCTCTGCATGGCGTGCAGCAGGCGGGGCAGGTCGTGCTGGCGCATATCTATCCCCTTTACAAGCATCCATCTATCCCCGTTATAAGCAGACCCACGTCATAGTCGAACCAGATGGAGAGGCTCAGCATGGCGTGCAGCAGGCGGGGCAGGTCGTACTGGCGCATATCTATCCCCTTTGCAAGCATCCATCTATCCCCGTTATAAGCAGACCCACCTCATAGTCGAACCAGATGGAGAGGCTCTGCATGGCGTGCAGCAGGCGGGGCAGGTCGTACTGGCGCATACCTATCCCCTTTACAAGCATCCATCTATCCCCGTTATAAGCAGACCCACCTCATAGTCGAACCAGATGGAGAGGCTCAGCATGGCGTGCAGCAGGCGGGGCAGGTCGTACTGGCGCATATCTATCCCCTTTACAAGCATCCATCTATCCCCGTTATAAGCAGACTCACGTCATAGTTGAACCAGATGGAGAGGCTCTGCATGGCGTGCAGCAGGCGCGGCAGGTCGTACTGGCGCTCCACGAGGCGCCCCACTCGCACCCACATGGGCCACCCCACCTGCACGCCCGGGTCGTCCATTCCCTCAATCTTGTGAACTGCCCTCTCCTCCATCTCCCCCACCTCGCCCTCGCCCAGCCACTTGGTGAGTAGCACCTGCAGACCAGGCACGCACAAGCAGGGGAACAGGACAGCGGGCGAGAACAGGGAGAGACATGGGAGCAGGTGAGAGAGTGAAAGGCGCGTCTGTGCCACACCACCACCACTATCACCACCACCGCCAGCACAACCAGCAGGCGCGGCTGGGCAGGTCGTACTGTCGCTTGGCCAGGCGCCCCACGCGCACCCACATGGGCCACCACCGCACCTGCACTGCACGCCTGGATCGTCCATTCCCTCCATCTTAGAGACTGCCCGCTCCTCCATCTCCCACACCACACCACACCACAACCCACCCACTTGCCCACGCACCTGCGCGCAGAGGTTGAGCTCTCTTTCCTCCATGGGCGCCCCTCGGCTGTTGATCCTGAGGAAGTTGAGCAGCAGCTCGTACGCCCACGCGTGCTGCCGGCGCATCACTTCGCTGCGCAGCATCGCATCCACAAACTCCGCCACGTACGAGTTCTGCTGGGAGGTGCGCGGAGTCAGGAACACCGCACTCGACGGCTTGCTGCCCGTACCCGTGCCACTGCCCAGGCCTGTGCCCATGCCGGTGCCAGTGCCAGTCTTACCCACTCCGCCTCCCATCCCCCCTCCTAGACCCCCGCCTGGGCCCATCCCAGCAGCTCCCCCCCAATTCCCTGCTGCGCCAGCACCAGCACCACCAGCACTGCCAGCACCTCTCGGGCTTCCGTGGGGGGTGCTGGAGAAGAAGCTTCCAGCCCAGCCTCTCGCCCCTCCTCCTCCCCCTGCTGCAGCAGCAGCAGCAGCAGAAGGGGAAGAAAGGGTGCCACTTCCGCTGGTGCCGCTCCCTCCCCCCAGCCACAGCGTAGGAATGTCACTCTTGCCCCGGGCGTGCCCTGGCTTGGATCTACCCGCACCAGATAACGCCTCCCCGTCCTCCCGCCCCTCCTCTGCTGCCCCTTCACTCAGCCATGCTCCCACCTCGCCTTCGCTCCCTCCCCGTCTCCTCCCCTCCCTTGCTACCAGTTCGACACCACTACCACCAGCGCTGGGACCAGTGGCATCAGAATTGTTGCCGGCACCTGAGGCACCACCTGAAGAACCACCTGACGCACCGCCTGGTCCAGCATCAACCACTGGAGCGCTTGCTCTGCCAGCCGCCCACAACCCACCCACCGAGCCTGCCGCCGAGCCTTTCCCAGAACCTGCTGCCGCAGCTGCAGCTCCGGAACTAGCCTGGGAGGCAAGCGCAGAGCCCCAACTAGAGGCAACTGCAAAGGCAGCAGCAGCCCAACCAGGAGCAGCCGCGGAGAGAGACGGGGAGGGGGAGGCTGAGGGAACTGTTGAACCAGAGAGAGCAGGAGAGGAAGTGGAAGAGGGGGAGAGAGGATCAGAGCCGGCAGCTTTGGCTGCTGCTGCTGCTGCTGCTGCTGCTGCTGCTGCTGCTGCTCTAGGGGAGGTAATATCTGGATCCGCCTTGACGGCAGCGTCTGAGCCTGTCCCCCCACCTCTACTACTGCTTGCTCCTGCGCTCCTCCCCCCTTGCGCTGCTCCCCCAGCACTCCTCCCTCCTGTATTAGGAGAGGAGAGGGGAGAGAGATGGGCCCCCTCTACCGCCCCAGGCCCTACCCCAGACCCCCAGAACTGGGCCGTTTTCACCGCAGCAGCCAGCCTAGCAAACCGCATTGTAACCGACTCAACCCCTCTACCTGTAAATACCATTCCAATCACCCGATCGAACCCAGCAGCCTTGAGCCTCCCACTGGAAACGGCCCTCAGTGCGGCATGAAACGCCGCCTCGTCTAACCCTAATTCCTGGGCTAGACTCGCAATTGCCATGCTGTCGTCCGGGTGTATATGCTCAAGTTCCCTCATCGTCGCCGCCAGGGTCATCCCCAGCAGGCCCGGGCCGAGGCTGAGCTGTAGGTACAGCCGATCCTGCTCCTCACACCGTTCCTCCAGGCTCGAGTGGGTGGCAGCTGCAAGCCCTTCTGCTAGTGCTACCTCTGCCATAGCTGCTAGGGACATGGGTTCCCAGACCTGAGGTCTACGCGGGGTGTGGGTGGAGGAGAGTGGGGAGTGAGAGAGTGGGGAGTGGGAGAGTGGGGAGTGGGTGAGTGGGGAGCGGGAGCGGGAGCGGGAGGGAGGGCGGCTGGGATGAGCTGGGGAGTGGTTGGGGGGGGTTGGGATTGGTGAGGTTCCTCCCATGTGGGCGAGAGGAGCGGAAGCAGCAGCACCAGACGCAGCAGCTTCAGAAGTATCCACACCGGATGCCAGACTCGGCATGGTCCATCCCCTTCTCTGCTGCTCCTTACTCACACCTCCCCCACCCCTCCTCCCCCTCTGCCTCTCCATCCTTTCCTCCTCCCCCCAACCTTCCCTCTCCTTCTCACCCTCCTCCTCCTCCTCGCCTTCCTCGCCCTCCTCCAGCCGCCCCTCCCCATCCCCTCCTTGCCAAATCATCAGCCGCTGCACAGCAGGGGTGGACGCCGCTACAGCTGCAGCGGACCGCTCGCTACAGGCAGTCAGGATGGCAGACAGGCACGACACTACAAACGCCCGGCAGGCCGGCAGGTGTGTGCCTAGTAAGGGAGCCCATGACCTGTTGGACTTGTTGCCCCCACTCATGCTGCTGCTGCTCCTGCTAGTGGTGCTAGTGCTGGTAGTGCCGTTGCTGCTGCTGTTGATTGCGCTCGCAGCTTCGGAACTCTCCGAGCCTCTGCCGGAGGTGGCGCCGCCGAAGCTCGAGCTGGGGGGTCGGTGAGAGGGGTGCAGAGCGGTGGATTTGTGAGAAACAGGTTCGTCTGCGTCTGGGTTGAACTGAAGAAGCATCAGCTGCTGCTGCTGCATTAACTGCATGCTGGGTGTGCGGTTGTGACCGATAGGTGCAAAGGACCGTGACACAGGCACAGCGGCACGAGGAGAGCCCCTCAAGCTCCCCACTCCCCCCCCTGCTGCACCTGCACTTCCTCCCCTAACCGATCCCAGCCTTTGATAACCACCACCACCAGTACCAGCACCAGCGCCGGCGGCAGCAACAGCTGCGGATGCTGCTACAGCTGCCGCTACAGCCTGCTCTCGCTCCAGCTGTAGCTCGAAGAAGGCGATGCGGTCGAGCAGGCGCAGGAGAATGAGGGCGGCTGTAGCGGGGCGCCACACGCTCACCGCTGCAGCGAGGCCGACAAAAACGAGGATGTTGTCATGGTGGCAGCGCGAGGCGAGGAACTGGTCTGTGTATCCCCGCTCTGCTGGTGGTGTTGGGGGTGCAGCTGCGGGGAGATTCGCTGCTCCTGCTGTTGGTGCGTCAGCAGACCCTTGGGCGATATCGACGCTACCCCCACCCCCATCAGCACCCTCAGCACCAGCACTGGCAGCAGTAGCAGCGGGAGCAGCAGCAGGGAGAGCAGGGACAGCAGCGCGCAGGTCAGAGCAGAGAGCCATGCTAACCAGCTGCTCCTGAATGCTGCCCTCTGGATCCCACACAAACACACGCACCGCCGCCGCTGCTGCAGGTGCTGCCAGCACAGGCCGCCCCTCTGCCCCTCTCCCCGCCCCTTCCTCCCCGCCTCTGCCTCTGCCCGCCCCTCGCCCCCTCCCGTCGCCTGCATAGGCCATGCGGCCGCTGCCCCCTTCCACTGCTGCTGTTGTCAGCGACTTCCCATACGCCCCCTCCTGCTCCTCCTCCTCCTCGTCCCCCTCACGCTCCCCCGCTCCTCTGCCCCTACTACCACTGCCATAGGCACCTGCAGCAGCAACTGCACCAGCTTCCATGCTGAGCCACCGTTGAGGCCTGGAAACAGGCCCAGCCAACCCACCGCCACTCTTCCCCCCGTTCCCGTTCCCAGCTTCCCTCCCACTTAACACTACGCCGCTCCCCACCTCATCCCCCCCACACGTCTCCTCCTGTCTCCCAGACCCCGCCCCCACCCCTGCTAGATTTTGAGTGGACTCAAAAGCAGACCCCGCCCCCACCCCTGCCAGCATCCCAGCAGCTTCAGCCAGGTCATCTTGAATGCGTGCGAACCCTAACCCTGCTAAGTCTGCTAGTTCAGGGGCAGTGGTGGAGGAGATAGTTGAGGAGAGGCGCAGCAGTCCCCCTCCCTCCCTCATGCTTCCCCCCTCGCGCAAACTGCTCCCTCTGCTGTTCACTCGGGCCGTTGTGAGGCCGCCGCGGCTGCTGGTTCGGCTGAAGGTTCGGCTGATGCTGCTGGTTCGGTTGATGCTGTTGGTCCGGTTGATGCTGTTGGTTCGGTTGATGCTGTTGGTTCGGCTCACTCGCCCAAAGCTGTCCCTACGAGCCCAAGGCTCGGGCGAGCCTATCCCAGTCCTCTCCTCATCAACCCAGCCTAACGACCTCTGCCTCCCTATACTCCTTCCTCCCCCTCCTCCCCCTCCCTCTCCCCCTCCTCCTCCCCTTCCCTCACTACTCAACCAAGCACCTGAAGGGATCCTTTCCATATGCTCCTCCCCATACGCCTCCCCCTCCTCCCCCTCCTCTCCCTCCTCTCCTTCCTCCAGCAGAACCTCCCCCTCATCCTCCTCCTCTGCCCAATCGGGAGGCCCGTCCCCCCACTGCTCCCAGAACCTCAACCACACAGCCAGTGCTACAGTAAACGCCTCGCTGACGTGGCGCTCTTTCAGCCTATCAGAGAGCTCCGTTGCGCTTCGGAATTTCTCACAGATCCACTCGAAGTCCCGGTGTGCCGCAGCTGATGACGAGGCTCGGACCATCGACCCGAGCCTCCCGCTGCTGCTGCCGAGCCTGCCGCTGCTGCCGCCAAAGCTGTCAGGCCGCATCCGAGCCAGACTGAACCCACCTTCCCTATACACCTCCTCTCTACCCTCCTCCCCTTCGTCACACCTCTTATACCCCTTACAAGCATCCTCGGTCACCCACTCATCCTGACCCCCCTCCCATCGCTTCCCCTCATGCCCCCACCCTACACCACCACCACCCCCCTCCCCACCCACACACCCATCCCCAGCCGTCCGATTCACCATCAGATCACCCTCATCGTCCACAGACTCATCTCCAGCCGTCCGTTTGAGCATGAGATCGAGCAGATCCATGAAGAGCAGAGTCCAGTGCTCCCTACACCTCTGAGCCCTCACTCTAGCCGCCCCTATCGGCCCAAACTCCTGACCACACTGCCACTTACTGCTGCTCCCTGCTGCACCCCCTGCTAGAAACCCACCCCCAGCAGCAGCAGCAGCACCTGAAGGCCCATGATGATCCCAGTGCTGCCCATCTCTCACACCACTCACACCACCCCCACCACCGCCACCGCCGCCGCCGCTGCTGCCGCTGGTGCCGGTGAAGCCAAAGGGTGTGGGGGGAGCAGAGCGCTGGGACGAGCCTGAGAAGCCTGCGAAACCCGGGGGGCCTGAGGGGCCTGGGGAATCGGAGGGGGCTGAGAGGAGTAGAGGGCGGAACTGGAACCCAGAACTGGTGGGGCGAGCGGTGGGCTGCACCGTGTTGAGAGGAGGCAGGTGGGGATCGTGTTGAGGGGCTTGGAGACCGCCTGTCATAGGGTCGCCCTCGCCCTGCTCATCATCCTGTCTGCCCTGCTCTGCCTGCTTTTGAGGCGCCTCACAGGTCTGCTCGCCCTGCTCGCGCTGCTCGGCTAGCACCTCCCGGCCACTGTGAGCATCGCATTGCTCCTGCTCGCTTCTCACTCGAATCTTCTTGCCTTTGAACACGAGCTCTGAAACCATCCTCTCCTGAGCGTCCACTTCTTCTTCCGCCTCTGGCCTCCCTTGGGACATGACTCCTCCTCTCAGTTCCTCGCCTGGAACAGTAAGGGGTCCTGTGGCGGTGGAGGGGGGTTCTGAGCGTTCAGAATGGGGTTCTGAGGTGTTAGATACGGTAGAGAGCGAGGAGAGGGGGCGCACTGGGACGCGCACTGAAAGCAATGGACTCGCAAAGTCAAACTCGTCCGTGCCGCTGCTGACCTGTCCGCTGCTGACCTGTCCGTTGCTGACCTGTCCGCTGCCGTTGCTGACCTGTCCGTCATTGACCAGTATGCTGTTGACCTGCGTTGATCCGATTGAACCTGATAAATTTGCTGGAATTGCTAGCTCTGAAAAACCCACTGACCCAGTTGACCCAGTTGACCCTGTTAACCCCACTCCTGGCCCCGCCTTCCCCAAATCTGCCATGGTGAAATCCCGAGGTAAACCCGGTACAGAAACAGCAGCAGCAGCACCCTTTTCAGCCGACTCAAAAGGCTTGCCCAGGTCCACCAAGGTGAAATCTCGAGGCAAACTGGGCATGACAGCAGCAGCACCCCGTTGAGACGTCTCAGGAGAAGCGCCCAAATCTGCCATGGTGAAATCTCGAGGCAAACCAGGCATAACAGCAGCAGCAGGAGTTGCTCCCTCTGTGAGTTTTCCAGACAGCCCAGCTTCAGTGGTGGCTGCCTCTGCTACTCCCTCTCCCTCTGCTACACTCCCCTCCTCTGCCTCCCCCACTCTTGTTTTCTCTCTCCCTTTCTCTCTCTCTTTCTCTCTCCTTGTCCCCCTCTCCTGCTCTCTCTCTTTCTCCCTCTTCTTCTCCCTCCCTTTCACGACTCCTAGCTTGGTCCACTCTATCACACCTTCCGATGATTCTGCCTCTCCACCGCCCTCCACCGCATCCCTATCCTCTTGAGCCCTATCCCCTCCAATTCTGCCCTCTTCGATCGTACCCTCTTCTTTCCCTCCTCTTTTCTCCTCTTCCACTCTCTCCACCTCCTCCCTCTTCTCCTTCCCCTTTGCATCCTTCCCCTTCCCGTCCCCTCCCCCATCCCTCTTCTCCCCTTCCTTCCTCCCTTCCCTCCTCCCATCTTTCCTTCTCCTAGATGACACCTCACCTCCTCCCTCCTCCTCTCCCCCACCAGCAACCCCATTCCGTCTGCTGCTACTCTTCCCCATCCTCCTCCCGTCACCACTGCTCGGACTCACAATCTGCCCCGTTCCCCTACTACTACTCTTCCCTATCCTCCTCCCATCACCACTGCTCGGACTCACAATCTGCCCCGTTCCCCTACTACTACTCTTCCCTATCCTCCTCCCATCACCACTGCTCGGACTCACAACCTCCCCTGGTCCCTTACCACTGCCGCCCTCCCTCCTGCTACCACCACGCTCCCTCGCGCTCCTGCCAAGCTCCCGCCCACCAGTGTCACCCTCCTTCCAGCTACTGCTAGGGCTTTCCATGGGGCTGATGCTACCGCAAGTTCCTGTATCGAAGCTAGTACTCGCATTGCTCTCTGTCCTTGTTACAGAGCTCTCTGTCCTCGTTATAGAGCTTGCTGCGTTACTGTCAGTCCTCTCTACAGACCTTGATGCGTTGCTGCTAGGGCTAATAGCAGCAGCAGCATCGCCACTGGTGGATTTCTTTACCTTGTGCCTCTTCTCTGTCTTGACCCTATCCTCACCCTTAGTACTCCTGCTCTTCCTTAGAGCTTTGCCACTGTTGCTTCTCATACTGTCACTTCTCATGCTATTCCGTTTCATCGTCTCACTTCTCATCGTGTCGCTTCTCTTGATATCCTCACTTCTCATAGTATCGCTCCTCATACTGTCACTTATCACACTGCCACTTCCCACACTATCACTTCTACCACTTAATACACGCACTTCCGCACTCCTGTCCCCGTCCCTCTCCGTTTCCCCTCCCACCAATCTCCCCTCTCCCTCCCCCACTCCCCCCTCTCCCTCCCTCACTCCCCCCACTACCTGGCCTGCTCCTCCCTCTTCCCCTCCAATCCCTGCAGTCCCTGCTTCTTTTTCCACCCTCTTCTCTCCGTCCTTCTCTCTTCTTTCTTTCCTCTCCTTCTCCTTCTCCCTCCTCTCCCTCCTCTCCCTCCTCTCCCTCCTCTCCCTTCTCTCCCTACTCTTTTCATCCTCTTCCTCCTCCACCACGCCTTGCAGTTCGCCTCCTCCCTCTCTGCCTCCACTCTCACTCCCCTCACACGCAGCAGACGACTTTTGAGGCGCCCCATAAGAAATCTCCTCTCTGCTTCCACACGCCTGCACTGCCAAACTCCCCTCTTCCTCTTGCAAACTCCCCCCTCCCCCTTGCGAACTCCCCACTCCCCCTTGCAAACTCCCCCCTCCCCCTTGCGAACTCCCCACTCCCCCTTGCAAACTCCCCCCTCCCCCTTGCGAACTCTCCCCTCCCCCTTGCAGACTCCTCTCTCCCCCTTGCAAACTCCCTGCATCACGTTTTTCCCCCAGAGTCTCCCATCCAAGTCCCCCACCCACCCTGTCATACGCTGATTGGCCAGCCTCCGCTGAAAGCAGCACTGCTTCCCCTGGTGATCTTCGAACCTCCTCCTCCCCAACCTTTTGGGTCAACTCAAAAATTGCCCCCTCGAATGCTGACTGGCCAGCCTCTGCTGGAAGCAACAGTGCGTCCCCTGGTGGTCTTCGAACCTCCTCCTCCCCAAGCCCTTCACCTCCTGCCTTATCCTCCCTCACTCCCGCCTCCCTCACTCCACTGACCCTCTTTCCAATCCCCCTCACTCCAATCCCACTCGCCCTCTCCCACTCCTCGAGCTCCAATCTCCCTTCCCACTCCGAATCCTCCCCCTCTCCATCCACTCCTCTTCCCATACCACCACCCAAGCCACCACCAATAGCGCCACCACCACCATCACCGCCCCCTCTCCTCTCACCTCCCCCACTGGCCAGTATCCTTTCAAAATCCAGTGCTGCTAAGCTCTTCCCCCTCATAGAACTTGATCCTGCCTGTCTTCTCTTAGCCTGCAGCAACGGGCTGTTAGCACCCGTTGCCCCACCCCCACCTGCTACAGCTGCTGCTGCCACTGCAGCAGCTGCAGCCATCGCAGCTCCGGCCGAACCTCCTCGGAACGACCGCGAGTGGAGAACCGAGCCTCGGAGACCCGAGCCTGACCCTGCCGAACCTCCTGAGGCTCCGAGCCCGAAATCGTCTCCTCCTGCAGAAGCAGCTTCCCTCCAACCCCCTTTGCCTCCTGGGACTCTGGGAACCCTCCTTACAGTCACCATGGCATCTAGGGCGGTGCTTGCCCCGTCTAAAAGTGACTTGGAATGGTGATGCTGCTGCTGCTGCTGCTCTTTCTGTGTAAGGGAAGGACCAGGCTGGAAGCGAGAGGAAGGAGGGGAGGCGTGTGAGGTGGTGGCGGGTGCCCACGAGTGCGCGGCAGGGGGAAGATCAAATCCAGACTTGGACACGGGAATGTTTGGCGAGGGGTGCGACGGCATAGCTGCAAGCAGGCGCGATGGGGACATGGATGGTGACAGCGATGCCGATGCTGACTGCGATGCCGATGCTGACTGCGATGCCGATGCTGATTGCGATGCCGATGCTGATTGCGATGCCGATGCTGATTGCGATGCCAATGCTGATTGCGATGCCGATGCTGATGCTGAGGTTGGGAACGCCTTCGATTGGGCATGGGAAGCTGGGGGGGATGCCTGGGGGGGTGAGGAAGCAGCAACAGCAGCAGCAGGGCTACCTGTGCGACCATCTGGCTTCACCTCCAGTCTCCCTTCTGACAGGGATGATGACCGAGACGGGCGAGGAGGCCGGAGGGGCGATCTAGCAGGGGTACGGGAGGGTGAGTGCCCAGGTGAAAACGCAGGAGTTGGCGAAGCCGGGTGCCCAGGTGAAAACGCAGGCGACATGCCAGGTGATCTGCCAGGTGATCTGCCAGGTGATCTGCCAGGTGAAAAGCCACCCAGCTCAGCTCCCTCGCTCCCTCCTCGGCCCCGCACGTGCCCTGCTGGCGGCATGTCCGGGAACCGCCCTTCAGCAATACGCCCTGCCCCAGGTGGCACCTGCCCTTCCGCCCCTTCCGTCCCTTCCGAACCTACCTGCCCTTGGGTGCCTTCCTGTCCTTCCTTATCACCCGACATTCCTCCCAGGTTCATGAGTGGCGTATCATTCGCCACTGGAAACTCGTTAGTGTCAGATGCGCTACTGGCAGCAGGGTGGCTGGAAAAGACGTCTCGAGAATGAGTGGAAAGAGCTGTGCTACCATCACCTGTAACCCCCTCGTCCTCCTCTATGCTACACAGACTGCTTCGCACACTCCCACTGCCGCTCCTGCTCCTCCTCCTCTCGCACCCCATCCCCTCCCTGTGCCCTCCCCCTTCCTTCTCCCTCTCTCCATCCCTTCCCCGTACCTCCTCTCGCTCTCCTTCCGTCACGCCCTCCCCCCTTCTCTCCACTCCTGAAATCCCCAAGCCCTGAATCCTAGTCGCCCTTCCCCCGCGCTCATCCCTCTCCCTCTCACCCTCTCTTCCCCCTCCCTCACGCGCTCCGCCCTTCTCCCTCTCGCCACAGTCGCCCCTCCCTGCGTCCTCCTCCTCGCCCCTCTCTGCGTCCTCTCCACCCTGTGCTCGCTGCAGGGACCGCCTAATCGCTATCGCTTCCATCAGCGAGCTCGGCTCGCGGATTTCATCGTCTAGCGCCATGCCCTCTTCGCTGCCTTGGTCATCCTCGTTATTAGCTTCCTCGCTATTCGGATCTCCACTGCCAATAGCTGTTCCCTGCTCTTTCCTGTCTGCTTCGTTCTTGTTACCGTTGCCTTGTCTTACTCCCCGCTTCCGCGGCAATTTCCCGGAGCTCCCCCCAGCTTCCCCGCTACCCAGTTCCCCTTGCGAATCTTCCGCCCCTTCCTCCGCCATTCCCCCTTCGCCTGCCCCCTTCATCCGCCTGTTCCGCAGGCGGTGGATGCGCTCCGAGCGCTCCGCCATGTCCTCGGGGTCCCAGTCCCCCGCCACCATTCCGCTGTGCGGAAAGAAGCACGCACGGAAGCTCCCCGCGCCCATCGTCGCTCGGCGCAACGCGCGCGCTTTGCTCTTACTCTTGCGCTCCCTTACCCCGCTCGCGGAACTCCCGGCGCTGGCCGTTGCGGTGACGGCAGCGCCGCTATTCACGGCGCTGATTGCGGCGCTGCCAGCTGCCGAGCCGGCGTAACTGCTGGGGATGCTGCTGCTGCCGCTGCTGGCGACCCCATCGCTAAAGAAAGCCGCTGGAAAAAAGGAGTGTACGTGTTGGCTGCTGCTGTTGATGCTACTGACATCGCTAGAGGCAGACCGGGAACTCGCCGACTTGCTAAAAAGCCACCGACGATCTCTCGGCCGGCCTTTATTCGCCGCCGCCGCCGCTGCTGCTGCTGCTGCTCCAATCGCAGCGACGTCAGCCCCGTTATTGGCATCTACCGATACAGGAACACTCGGAGTACCATCGCGAGAGCCTCTTAACGAAAGCATGAAGCGGCGGCTTCGTGATTTAGTTGGAGACGTAAGGCTCGCTGTACGGGGAACTGGACTTTGCGGACCGGATGAGGGTTCACTAACCATAACGCTGCCGCTTCTAACGGGGATACTTGCGGAATGTGGACTGTCGTGTAACGAGCATTCCGAGGACAGGCTTTTATCGGAGCCCTGGTGAGAATACTTCACATTTGCCATCTTGCTAGATACACCTACTTGTCTCCTTTTACACGGCCTGTACCGACGCCGCTGCAAGCGCTTAGTAGCGCAATCTCGGCTTCATTAAATAGTCAGAACCTAAACAGTACCAACACCTAACTTGCTTGCTGGTCAACAAACTGAGGAGAAAGGCTTGAATGGGTGAAACACTGAATGTATGCGATGGCTGGATTGGGGGAGACGACGACACATGGTATGCGGGAGAACATCATAAAAAGGAAGGCAGGGAGATAATCGAGAGATACAGTGGGGTGACACGGCACGGCACCAGACATACAGACATGGTACTGTATCAATGGACGCACCAACATCGGGGGATGTTGCGGTGCGTTTTTCAAACGCAACAAATGTTCCCGAGGTACTTTTTTCGCTGGCGACAGAGAATCTCGGGCTCGTTCCAGCCTCGGTCGGGATGACCCTAGGATCTGTCGCGAAGTTCCTGATATTCTTTTGAACCGTCATTCTCGATGACACAAAGGTTCGCTTGGCTCGAAGATACTGTACAGAAATTGAAGGACGGGGTATGGTTCGCTGGCTCGAAGAAACTGTACAGAAATTGAAGGATTGGGTGTGGTGTGCAGCGCTGTTCCCCATGGCCTGCTGATAACGAGTAAACACAAACATACTACAAAATCCCTTAAAAATACGCGCTATACTCTCAATAACCTCACCACTACACGCATTTCCTGTCTGCATAAGAGCATCACCCTTCACTTGAAAATGCATACTTCTGATTTTCCATTCCCGATTCTGACGTTACATCGCTTCTTTACGGTCTAACTGTTTTCATTCACACCACTCGCCGTTATTTTCGCGGCTGCGTTCTGTGGGCGCATCAGCCCGCATCAATGTACATTGATGCATTCTACCACGGTTCCGAGATACTTCCGTCGTAACCTGCCGAGAGGTTATCAAGGTTCGCGATAAGCGCATGGCTGCCGAAGCGAAACAAAACCGAATGCCTGCATAACGGCCTTTTTGGCGACCAAAATTGAACATGTTGCCGATTTACGAGAAATTTCTCGTCCTAGCAATCTGGCGCATCATTGATGCGCGCATCATGCAACTCCGAGAAGTCGCATGATGCGCGCATCAGCTGGTGCGGAGCACCCTCATTCGTCAATTTGTTTCTTCCTAAACCCTCATTGGTTGGCACCATTCGAAAATTTTGCGGTCTAAGGGCGCATTTTTTGGCTTCGGGTCTTCCGGGTGTTCGGGTCTTCCGAAACTGTGGGATCCAATCCCAAAATTCAAAGCTCAAAACGCGGACTTTCCGATTGGATCCCACAATCTCGGAAGAACCGAACGCCGGAAGACTCAAGGCCAGGAATGCGCCCTAACTTCCTAGAAACCCATAAGATTTTGGAAATTTGAGGAAATTGGATTTCGAGATCTGACATGCCCAAATTCGAGGTTCGGACGTGGTTCGGAAAATTGGAAATAGAAGATTTCGGGAACCTCGTCCGAGCCTCGTCCGAACCTCAATTTATCGATTTCAATTTTGTCATTTCCGAACCTCAATATCTCAATGTGCGCGTCAGCCCGAGCCTCAGACGCATCAGAGCTGATGCGCCTGCAGAACGCAGCCACTACGAAATTGCACCCTCGAAATGTGAACTGATCCGCTCCTGACCCGACCACTCTCCTGACCCAACCACTCTCCTAACAGATCTGTTTGTGATCACACTCCGCAATAGCATAATCGATATCATGAAATCATGCCGGAATGAGTAGCCAATCAGTGCGGTGCGGCGCGTCGCGGTAATACTCTCATAAGTGGCCGTGCCATCGATGGCATGATTCCACCCAGCACGTATGGCCTTCGAATAGGCGCTTCGTCCCATGTAGCACCGTCAGCATTGTGAGCGCCTTCATCGCCGTCAGCACCGTTAGCACCACCGCGACCGGCATGCCAATCCACCATCCAACCCCCTGGCAAACCCGTCAACCCTCATCTTCGTTATTCAGCTTTTTAGGGTTTCCGCGGTTTCGCCGCTTGCTGGCGCGAATGCCGCAGCGGTACGTGGTTGTGCTGCTGACTGCAGCATGCACGACGGTGTGTTATATCGAACGCGTGGGGTTCAGCGTGGCGTACTCGTTAGTAGCTAATCGCAACCATGTGGATCAGGCCACCAAGGGCTGGGTGCTCTCGGCGTTTTATTACGGATACGCCCTTTCCCAGGTGGGTGTCTTGCGAATGCGCCCTGTTTCAGGTGATTGCTTCGCGAATTCGTAAGGGTTCAAATTTCACGAATTCTCTGCTGTGTGTTTCACTGAGTGTTTGGCTTCACCGTGCCTGCTGTGCCGCTCACTGTCCCTTCTTCCTCATTGCCCCACGCTGTCCCAGCCGTCACCCTCATACCATCTCCACACGTCATCACCTCCCAGGAAGAACCGCTGCTCCCTTCCCCTCCGCTCTCCTTCTTCCCCTCCGCTCTCCTTCTTCCCAGTTAGCTCCACTTCTCCCATCCACTCGCCTCTTGTTCACACGCCATCAGCGACGAGGCAGTCCCACCACTAATCAACCGCTATGCTGCCCTAGAGCCATCCCCGTCTGCTTCCGTGGCCCGGAATTTGCGAGAATCGTGAGAAACAGGAAATGCCGGAAGTCGACCTGCTGATCTCTCCCTTCCCTCTCCATCCCCGTTTCTCCCATTCGTGCGTCCCCATTTCCCCTCACCAGCTGCCTGGGAGTTCTGCTGCTCAGCGCTTTCGAGGCCGGCGGGCCATCACCATGGCCTTCCTCGCCTGGGGGAGGAATGCGTGGCGCTGAATGCTTGAATCCACTCACCCATCCCCTCTCCTCCCATTCTTCCAAACTTCCTTCCAGGTCTCAGGCAGCTCTGCAGCGCAACGTTCTTTTTGAGGCCGGAGGGTGATCACGTGATCACCGTGGCCTTCCTTGGCTGGTGTGCTTGAACTTGCACTTCCATCCCCCCCCTTCTCTTCCCCCTTCTCACTCACTCCCGTCCCAGCTGCCAGGCAGCTCCGCCGCACAGTGCTTTGGAGGCAGACGAGTCATCACAGTGGCCTTCTCTTCCTCGCCTGGACCGTCCTCTCCCTCCTCACTCCTTCCCACCCCTCCTTCGCCCCCCTCTTACTTCCTAATCTCCTTTCAGGTGCCTGGTAGTTCTGCAGCGCAACGCTATGGCGGCCGGAGGGTGATCACAGTGGCCTTCCTCGCCTGGACCGCCCTCTCCCTGCTAACTCCCTCAAACCCGACCTCCTCCTCCCTCACCTCGCCCTCCCTCTTCGCGCTGCTACTCATCCGCTTCCTAGTGGGCGCCACGCAGGGCTTCATCTTCCCCTCCATCCACACAGTGCTCGCCCTCTGCATCCCTCCCCATGAAAAATCCCGAGCCGTCAGCCTCACAATGTCGGGGATGTATCTGGGGGCCGGGGCGGCTATGTCTCTCATGCCGGCTGTAGCGGCGGGGGAGGCGCCCTGGGGCGGGCCGGCCGCGGTGTTTCGGTGGTCAGCTGGGCTGGGGTTGATGTGGGTGGTGCTGTGGGTGCGGCTGTTTTCAAAGGATCCGCCTGGAGGAGGGGGGATGGGAAGAGGGAGCGGTGGTGGTGGTGGTGGCAGTGCTGGTGATGGGAACCCGCTGTCTCCCCGTTTGCCTGGAAGTAAGCACGATCTCCTACAGGATGATGATGTGAAAGACAGTGCGGTTGGGAGTGGTGGAAGCAGCAGCAGCTGTAGCAGCAGTAAGGTTATTCCTTGGGGAGCCATGATGAGCAGCTGGGCCATCTGGGCTATAGTTATTAATAACTACACTTTTCATTACGCACTTTACGTGCTTATGAACTGGCTTCCTTCCTACTTCGAGCAAGCGCTACACACATCGCTCCAAAGCATCGGCATCGGCAAATCCCTCCCGTATTACATTATGATGATATTTTCCAACGTTGGTGGCGTAGCTGCGGATTTCCTTATCACGTCGCAATACCTGTCAATCGCAGCTACCCGGAAGGTTCTGAATACGGTTGGGTTTCTTATTGGGGCTTTGGCACTGTGCCTGATGCCGGTTCTTTCGTCGGTCACGGGAGCTATTTTATGCTCAACCATAACTCTGGGTGCTTGTGCATTTGCACGAGCAGGCTTCTCAGTGAACCACATGGATATTGCACCAAGGTATGCAGGCCCCGTTATGGGTATCTCCAATACTGCTGGGACATTGGCGGGCATCGTAGGGGTGGCAGCAACAGGGTTAATTCTCCAAGCATGGGCTACGGATATTGAATTCGGATGGTGGCTTGCGTTTGTTACGCCAGCTGGCCTGTGTGTGCTAAGTGCCGCAATCTTCTGTGCATTTGCTACGGGGGAGAGGTTGTTTGATTAAATAGAAATACAGTAACATCATTTAGAAATTGTGGTATAAATTTGCCTGATATTTTATTCTCTCGAATGGAAGCGTGGGACCACTAACGAACCCCGCGATTGCCGCATCAGACAACTTCCCATCCCACACACTCATCATCGTACACTTCGATGGAATCGCGCCAAGGGTTGCGTGCGGCTGCTGGTGACGGACGGAGGACAACGAGGTTGGTTGGGCGATGATGATGTATCTTGTCGCCGAATCATTGGCTCGTCCTTCGGCGAACTCCCGATGTTGTCGTTGTGTGCGCCCTTTCCTTCTGCGGACTGCCTAAAAAAAACTTATAAAAACTAGTTACAGAATGTTCTCCCTGCCCTCGATATCATAGTTATCACGAACTTGCCAGCGGATTCCGGCTTCCGGCGGCTGCTTTCCCTTCATGATTGCTGCTCTACCGTCAGAGAAGTAACCCAATGCCCTGAATTTGAAATTCAGCAGGGGATACCACAACAAATCACATGCTGTGTTGTGAAGACCCAATCAGGCTGACGAACTTGTCGGAATACACGTGATGCCCTTCTTCGGACACGTTTTTCAGTGGTCCCATCTATTGTGTTCGGCATCTACACCGTAGTGGGATTTTGTGGAAATTGGTGTTTTCTTACGCTGCCCTCCACATGTTCCTTGCAACCAGCAACGACGGATGTAACAGTGTCGATATAACGTGCATCAGCCTGTAACGCGAGTGCATGTATGAGATGCCTGAATGTTGAAGGCGTAAATGGTATGAAGAAAATCATGCGGATGTAAGGGCGCTTCACCTGAGGGGCGGAAGGCCAAAATCCGAACCGACGTATCAGTTTGACTGTACGAACAGTATCCCAAATGAGTTCGAACACAAATACGTACAATAAGCGAATGTGACACAGGCCATCACAGGTGACGCCATCGCTATTCGCACACGCGGTCTGTTCGAACACAGCGACGTCGCCCACAAAAGAGCGACGTCGCCAAACATTGGGTCCCAAACATTGGCGACGTCTGGCCGGGTCGCAAACGTTCATGGGCGACCCGGAAGACTGTGGACCAATCATATCAGTCGTTTGTGCGGAATTTGTGTGTCACCTATCCCAACCTGTTCGAACAAACGTGTTCGAACGTGCGGGATGATGAAAATCGTGCTTGAGGTGACAGCTCTGTTCAAATTGGCGAAATTGTGCTTCGCGACGCCACGAAAACCACTACGAACATAGGCGAAACGAGTAACGTTTCGCCTGTTCGAACGAGTGTGTTGTTCGAACCGACAGGTGAAGCGCCCTAAAGATATCTGAAACTTGAGTGTACAGTCCAGTTGTTTTTGGTGGCTGATATTTTTGTCCGTCACAGTCACAGAGCAGCAGCAGCATTAGTGGTTGTTTCGCTACATTCAGTTCGTGTCCGTAGGGTTGACATGTCAAGTGAGGGCGGGTCAACCCGAAGCGCATTTGAATAAGAGCGTCAAACTTTGTAGCTGAGCTGTCAAGTAAAAGCGCATGTACGAACATCAGCGACTCAATTTCATTGGTTTGAAAATTTGTCAGGTGTGGATCTGCTAGGCAGCGAACGATTCAAAAGACATATTGTGTGCTGATTGGCCAACATCTGGTCGTGAGATAGGCACCTGCGACAATCTTCTGTCGTTTGAAGGTTTGACTGCGTCAATTTCAAAAGTGTTGATTTGTATTGGCTGGCAACCTGCAATTTCTTGACACCCTGCCAACAATGTTGGCTGAGTGTCAAAATGCCAAATTGACACTGCCCACTTTGACATATCATCCCTACGGACACGACCTCATTGCCACCAGTAGGCTGCATTCATCCATTTGCCTCGCCTTCCCGTCATTCTTCCTACTGCTGATGATTGCTTCCCTGCTGCTTATGTCGCATCAGTCCCAACTTTTCGACCACGCTTCTCCTTGCACGTTCCTGGCTCTCATTTCGAAGCGTACTGTAATTGCAAGTGTCCTTATTTGCGGTGTAACGACCTGCATCCTTCGCATGATTGCTCCCTTGCATCCTCCTGTCTTCCGTCGGCGGATTGGGGATGATTGTTTCTGTTCCTCGTGCAATCAGCCCTTCGATGTCATTCTTCCTGATCCGAACAAACCAACTGCTAACGTGTTAGGGCGTGTCCGAAGTGAGACGTCGATGGATGTCGCTGGATGTCGATAAATTTCATCCCTCGGATCGACAGTTCCAACCGTCAGGATTTACCGACATCCCCAAACGGATGTCAACGGATGTCGACGTTTTACTTCGGACAGCCCCTTACTGCATGGTTGTACAAGCGCGCCCTTTTCGAGGTGACTTTTCGAGTTACACATGATACCCGTTTGACTAACCCAAGGTTGCCTTGTAAAGAGGGCTCAAGTGATTCTTGTATTTCGCTAGGCTTTCGTCAATTCGCACTTAGCAAAAACGGCTTATATTTTTTTTTGTAGCTCACCGTTGACCTTTCGACTTCAGTCTCCTCGGTCAAGCTTCGATTTCTGTGGTTCGTATTGGTTGAGGTGCTTGTACCTGGGGTGCAACTGGCTGGCGCAAAATACAGGTGTACAGAGTTTCTGCCGACTGCAGGGCAATTTCGCGCGCAGGGGCTGGGCATCTTGTGTACTCAAGAACCAAATTTTAACGGAATATATATTGTACTGCCTGCGTCAGCAGGCAGTAAAATCGAGTCAGCAATCTGACCGCGGGCAAGAAAAAAAACTAAAACCCACTCGGAAGGCATGCCATCCGAGGGAGCCTCAACCCTAAAATTCTAGGGTTGAGGCTCCCGAATGGCATGCAGTCCGGTTGATTGCACTTGCAACTCCTTTTCCATGCGCGAAGCGGACGTGTTGCTTGCTCCATTTGCCGAAGCCACTCGTTTTTAGTCAGCTCAGAAGTCGGACATTTTGCGATCTTCGGGCATTGCATTTTACAAGTCTCGCGCAGGACGAGCACGACGCAGACCACCAAATTGCGACATCAAGAGCTAGACTACGCCTTAGTCCAACCCGATCGCGCTAGGAATAATGTCCACATTTCAGAGCAGCACGGGAAGCGAGCCGTTACAGCGACGCCACATTGAGGGGAATAGAATCTGAAATCTCAACTCGACAGCCACATCGGTAACTAGAGCCGAAGAACAGCAGAGCTTTTCGTTCGGCATTCATTTCTTAGTAACGGATTTTGTTGATCAACAATATCGCGGAGTGCGATCGCGCGCTCAGAAATAAATTCCTTTTTTTACTTTTTGTTCTTTCCAGTAGGTCGGACCACCTTTCTTCGCCAATCTTCTTTGTCGTTCCTCGACGTAGCGTTATCTGGCGTATCTGTATAGTATTCTGAGACTCACCCAATCTTCATCAAAGTCGGGTCGCGCTTGTCATCATCGAGGTGACTTTTGAGTCGACTCAAAGGTCACCTCGTGATCGGAAGCTTCTATAGTATTCTGAAAGGCGCGCCATTTTTACCAAGGTCGGGTCGCGCTATCATCATCAACCTCCTCCCAGTGCGTGGGATCTTGCGGCAGGCCCACACGCTGCCTTATAGTAGCGCGTAAAAGAAGGAGTGTTTTGAGACGTCTCAAAACATCTTGCGGCAGGCCCACACGCTGCCTTTTAGTAGCGCGTACAGACGAAGGTCTTGACTTGCTGGCTGGTGAATCCTCATCGACGGTGTGCGTGCGTCTATCGACGGCGGAGATTCGCCGTCAGCGTCGACTATCGACGGCGAGAACTTGGCGTTGTAAATCGACGGCGGAGAGTCGGCGTTGGGCTACGACGGCGGGGAAGAGCCGATGGGGAGCGCAAGAGGTTTCGACGTCGTTAAGGGTTATGTGGACACGGATTACGGCCAGATTCACTTCCGCAGGCGAGTTAACTGGAAAAAAATAAAAAAGAAGCACACTATTGCTATGCTATGAATACGGCTAGATACACTACCGCAGGTGAGCTATTAAGGTAATTTCAGAGTCGAATCAATAGTCACCCCATATCACGGCCACAAACACTACACACGTAAGCTAAAGTAGTGACCTTTGAGTCGACTCAATAGTTATCTCCACTTTACGGTCAAAGCGAACTACCGCTGGAGAGGTAACGCGGAGGAATGCGGCATCAGGTATGCCACTGCTACAGGTGGTGCAGATACGCTATCGCGACAATGGGATATAGATAACATGCTGACGCTCTAGGGTTTTCAACGTGACGTTCCAGCAGCCACTCACACCCGCACTCTTCCCCTCCTCTCCCTTCCAACATCCCCCCCCCCCTCCCCACCCCTCCCCTCCTCTCTCTCCGCCGGTTGTTTTTTTAGAATTCGTGTACCCCGTTACCATTTATCCCCCCTCCCTCCTCCCCCACCCCTTCACCTGTCCCCACACCCCTCCCCCTTTCCCCCCCAAATCTCCTCCGCGCGTCTCGTTTTTCCCCCGTGGTCCTCACTTGATGTTGCTCTTTCTTTCGCCCAACTTTCCTTTCCTCCTTCCCCCGGTCTCTCCCGCGCTCGTCATCCCCTCGACACCCCTTCCCCCCACCTTTCCCGACGCGCAGATGCGGACAAGGCATGCCGTCCGTGCTTCTCCTGCATGCCGCCCCGCAATCCTCCTCCATGTTCTCCTCCGCGCTCAAGCGCTTTGCCGCCCGGGGGCTGCACGCCGTGGCCGTCGATCTGCCCAACTGCGGCGAATCCAGCCGTTCGTCCGTGGAGCTGACGATCGCTGACGTGGCGGAGATCGTGCTGCAGGCGATCCAAGGGCTGAGATTCACCAGCACCATCGACCTGGTAAGCATCGAACGGAGGGTGGGGGTGGGAGGCCATGGTCGGGGAGGGAGATATGGGAAAGAGAAAGGACAGATGGGGGGAAGGGGGGTACGGAGAGAGGGTGGGTGATTCAATGGGGGGTGTGGAGAGGGGGGAAGAGGGCCGAGTGCGGGGCATTGCCCTTTGAATGTAGGGAGAAGGGGAGGGGAAGGGGGGAGGGGGAAAGGGGGAGGGGGAAAGGGGGAGGGGGAAAGGGGGAGGGGGAAAGGGGGAGGGGGAAAGGGGGAGGGGGAAAGGGGGAGGGGGAATGAGGAGCATCGTTTGGCTAGTTGGAGTCAGTACAAACCCCCAACACAGCATGACCTGGATGAATACATAACAACGGACCAGCTTGGTCAAAAGAAGTATACGTACACATCGATCGCACCCCGCCGGCCTGACTGCGGCAGGAAAAGAATCAGAAAACCTTTCAAACGAGAGGCTTTTTCATTCCCCCACCCAAACCAACCCCCCTTCCCCGCTACACCGTGCCGCCCCATGTTACCTTCACCCACCCACCCACCCACCCCTATCCAACCCCACCCAACCCCATCCACCTTCACCCACCCCCATCCACCCACCCCCACCCCCACCCACCCACCGTATCCACACAGATCGGGCACCAGACGGGGGCGACAGTGGCGCTGCAAACCGCGTCAGACCTCGCCCAGGTGGTGCGGTGGGTGGTGCTGTTTCCCAAACCTGTCCCTCCGTCCACACCCTGTTCTGTTCCTCACCCCACCTGCACAGAATCCGCGTGTAATGAGTCGTGTTTTGAGTCGACTCAAAACTCGTCCCCCACAGATCGGGCACCAGACGGGAGCAACAGTGGCGCTACAGATCGCATCAGACCTCCCCCGGGTGGTGCGGCGAGTGGTGCTGTGGGGCGTGGCCATGCTGGGCTTCATGGAGCGACCATAAGGGACCTTCTCTCACGTTCTGCAACCCGTCTTACCGCTCTCCACCCCTTCCCTCTACCCACACAGATCGGGCACCAAACAGGGGCGATGGTGGCGCTTCAAATCGCATCAGACCTCCCCCAGGTGGTGCGGCGAGTGGTGCTGTGGGGCGTGGCCATGCTGGGCTTCATGGAGCGAGGGGGGGCTTCTCACCACTCCCCACCGGTCTCCACCTCTGCATTTCATTGTTCTTCGACGATTACCCACCCACCCACTCCCCACAGATTGGACACCAAACAGGAGCGACAGTGGCGCTGCAAATCGCGTCAGACCTCCCCCAGGTGGTGCGGCGAGTGGTGCTGTGGGGCGTGCCCATGCTGGGCTTCATGGAGCGAGGGGACGTGCTGAGGGAAGAGCCTCCCGATTATGACGGGGACCTAGAAGGCACTGTGGCGACCTTTTTGGAAAAGAGATACCCGTACCCCGTGCCCTGGCAGCTCAAGGTAACGACAGGAGGTCTGGAGGTGGGTTTTGTAGAGTGTTGTGGGGTTCTGTGGGGTGGCCGGCTGCTGGGGCGCCTGGGAGTGGTGCTGTGGGGCGTGCCCATGCTGGGCTTCATGGAGCGAGGGGACGTGCTGAGGGAAGAGCCTCCTGATAATGTCGGGGACCTAGAAGGCACTGTGGCGACCTTTTTGGAAAAGAGATGCCCCTACCCCGTGCCTTGGCAGCTAAAGGTGAGGCGAGCAGGATAAGGTGGGATGCATAGGGTGCGGTGCGGTGCTGTGGGGTGTGTGGGGTGTCTGGCCGCTGGGGCTTCTGGGGGTGGTGCTTTGGGGCGTGCCCATGCTGTGCTGCCTTCAAGGTCCGCACCATGCTGTGCGGGGTGCTGTGTGGTGCTGTGCGGGATGCTGTGTGGTGCTGTGCGGGGTGCTGTGTGGTGCTGTGTGGTGCTGTGCGTGCGGTGGCCTGTGGGGTGCCTGGGGGCCTGTGGGGTGTGGGCATGCTACGATGTGGATCTCAAGGGCACTCGTCCCTCGAGAACCGATACCTCCGCTCCCTGCCCATGCCCCTGCTGTTCTCTGCGTGCTCTCTCACTGCCCCTGCCTCTGCTGTCTGACCCGTGCCCTCCCCAGTTGTCTTCCCCTCCCCAGTTGTCTTCCCCTCCCCAGTTGTCTTCCCCTCCCCAGTTGTCTCCCCCTCCCCAGTTGTCTTCCCCTCCCCTGCCCCTCCGCACCCCACCACCACCAGGTGCGCACGCTGATAGACATGCCACAGACCTACAAGCCTCTCTCCTGGTTGACTCGAGTCATGGCAGTAGTGGAGTGCACCACACCGCCATCCTGGGCTCGCTCCCCGTGCCCGTGCTCTGCCTGTTGCTCTCTTCCTCCCCATGCCCCTGCTGCTGTGTGTAACCCCTGCTCTCCCTCTTTCCCTCGCCCTCCTCTTCCCCTGCCCCTACCCCCACTAACAACAACAGGTACGCACGCTCATAGACATGCTACAGACGTATGAACGCCGCCCTTGGCTCACCCGAGCCATGGCAGTGGTCGACCACGCTGCCCTGCTCGGCTCGCTCCCCATGCCTGTGCTCTGCCTGGCCGGCGACAGCGAGCCGTTTCAGAAAGCGACGATGAAGGCCGCCTTGCTGTGCAAGAACGGGCGGTACGTGAACCTGGGCTCGGCCGGCAGCGATGTAGTAGATGAGATTCCCGATGATTACGTGGCAGAGGTTCTGGGTTTTCTCCTGGAGCCGGATACAGATGGGGGTGTGGGACCGGGGGGCGCGGGGGGAGGGTCGGGGAGAGTGGGGGGCGGAGTGGGGAGAGTGGGGGCGCTGGGGGGAGCGGCGCAGGGGGAGCGGGCGAGCTGGTCAATTCAGAGTGAGGTGGTGGCGCAGGATGGGGGGAGGAAGATGTCTGCTGCTGCTGGCGTGGGGGGAGGAGGGGGGGGAGGAGTGGGGGGAGGAGTGGGGGGGAATCAAGCGCTACGGCAAGGGTCGTTGCCGAGTAATCTAGGGGGAGGAGCGGGAGGAGGGGTGGGAGGAGGGGGAGGGGGGGAAGGGGGAGGAGGAGCAGGTGTGGATGGCGGCCAGTCGCCGAGGGGCGAGGGGGATGAGAGGCGGTCGTCGAGTGAGAAGAAGCGAGGGCTGCTCAAAGGGCTTTTTCGAGGGAAGAGCGGGCTGCAGCAGCAGGGGTGATTGCAGTGAGGCATATGTGACCCGTGATGAGTGGTTACAGTGGGGGGAATGGCAGAGGGTTGGTCAAGGAGTTGCTTAGATGGAAGAGTGTACTGCAGCAGCAGGGGTGAGGTCAGGCAGATATGCACAGTGAACCGCAGGGGTGATGGCAGGCACGCATATGACAGGCATATGACAGGCATGTGACAGGCATGTGACAGGCATGTGACAGGCATATGACAGGCATATGACAGGCATGTGACAGGCATATGACAGGCAGATGACAGGCATATGACAGGCATGTGACAGGCATATGACAGGCAGATGACAGGCAGATGGGAGGCAGATGGGAGGCAGATGGGAGGCAGATGGTCACTGTGATGTGAACAGTGATGTCAGTGTACGGAATGGGTGAGGGCTACTCAAGGGGTTGTTTAGAGGGAAGAGCAGACTGCAGCAGCAGGGGTGACAACAGGCAGGTACACGGCAGGCAGGTACACGGCAGGCAGGCATATGACAGGTGGACGGCCGACAGATGGGCACAGTGAATAGTGATGGCAGTGTAAGGGAAAAGGGGCTGTTCAGAGGGAAGAGTGGGCTGCAGCAGCTGGGGTGAGGACAGGCAGACAGCAGCAGCTGCTGCACTGGTGTCTGCTGAGACTACGGTAGTCAGTGTGGGGTGCAGTGGCACTGGCCCTGATCTGACGGATAGTGTTTGTCATTGGCTTCAACATTCTTCCAAGGTGTCTCTGTTGAGTCCCTTGCGCTGCCTTGCCGAGTTGCCAGCTCTAGGGCAGCGGAATTGCCATGTGTGACAGCTGGACTTAGCATATACGTACCGGTAAGCTGGAATAGCCGTTCATGTCAGTTGGATTGCCAACTTCGCGAGCTGGCCGGCACAGCTACAGCCGTCTCAGGGTTTTAACTTTACCACTTCCATCATTCGCCTAGCTTTCATTAATTTGTCTTCTGTCCACAGATAGGGGACTGTGTGCTTGCAGCACACGCTAGTAATGCATGCTTGTTTTGGACACCAAGTGTAGCTTGTGGCGTGGGCTGGTTGTACTGTATTGGGTGCTTTGCCTAGCACAGATTTCTCCTGCTGTAGTCTCTAGTTGGAGATGTAGTACAGACACAGAAAGACTGTTGCATGGATACACATAAACTGCTTGTAACATTTGTTTACTACATTGCACGTTTACAAGCATCATGTCCTATTCTGCACGGGTGTCCAGCAGGGCTTCAGATTCGTTTTGGGCCACCCTTAGTAATCAGGGTTCTAGGTATAGTCAACCCTGATGCGTAGGGTAAATTTTTTGTTTCCCTGACAAATGCAGGGTAAAAAAACAGTTTGTCTGTTTGGGCAGGGTATTCTTGAAAACTTGTGATTATGTAAAGTCCCGAAACACTCAAGATCAATGGCTAGTAGTTAAGCTGGTCAATTGCGCATTAGATCTGTGAAGTCGTAAGTTTAAATCTCGCTAGTGGTATCGTTTTGCAGGGACCTGTATAGTGTTTCGTCTCGCTACGGAGCACTTACGGTAGTACCAGTATAGCTTGGATTGTACAATGTACAGTCAGAGTAATGTGTTCCTTATGCTGTTTTTCAAAGGGTATTGAAAAACTTACACTTTCTGGCCTAGGGTAAAAAATCCACTACCCTGCCTGTGAAAGGGTAACTGAAAAAAAGCGGCCGCCAGTCAGTGCAAAAAGGGTATTTTACCCTGATAACGAGAGGCCTGGTGTCCAGTCCATCCAGTCATTTAGTGGATATAAAGCAATACAGGAAGAAATGTGCACTAGCAGTTAACTTCTCTTACCCTTACACATATTTTCAACAATTTCTTGTAGTTGTACCTTAGGGCAGGTCCAGCGCGTACGTTTTCAGGTCCTATACAGCTCATTCGTCGTAGGATGAAACGATATCAGGCGGTGCACAGCGGTTTTAAAATTGCGCCGTTTTGAACCGTGACGCAGTACAGATTACCGCGTACTGGATGAAGGCCCTGTTCGCCACGACCACGATATAGGCAAGGGGCGGGGGATGGGCGAGGGCTCCAGAAGGTGCGCCGGAAGATGCGAACTACGTCCGGGGGCTCGCCCCGAATGGAAATTTCTCCAAAGGGATCCGGAAGGGGGCCAAGGGGATCTGGCACCTCCCCCCCCACCTTCGTTTAGGGCGGGACTTTTTTTCCCGCCTCTGATCCACAACCAGAGAAAAAAAGAAACAAATCAGCCCGGGTAAAAAGTGTCGAAAAAAGAAAAGGTCCTTCACAGTTGCGTTTAGGGCGCATCACCTCGGGGCTGGAAGGCCCAAATCCGAACATACGTAACGAATTCACTGTACAAACAGTTTCCCGACGAGATCCGAACACAAATTTGAACACCTTGGTGAATGTGACAGCTCGTGACTAGAGGTGACAGCCTGTTCGAACATGCGACGTCGCCAAGTGCTGGACGACTTCGCGAAACGTCGCAAAAAAATAATTCTGTCGTCTGCCATTCAAGTTTGACTCATTTTTCGCCCATCCAGTCAAACAGTCTCTTCGTGCTCTTCTACTACTGCTCACCTTGTTGTTTCCCAACAACAATGTCCTTTTTTATGAACTTTCTCCTGCATGGCGACATTTGCAATGGTCGCAAACATTCGTGTGCGACCCGAAGCCTGCTAACCAATAAAATCAGTCGTCCATGCGGAATTCCTGTCACCAAACCCAACTTTGTTCGAACAACTCTGTTCGAACGTGCGGAATGGAGAGCTTCGTGCCCCGTGTGACAACTCTGTTCAAATTCGCGAAATTTCCGACTAGCGACGTCACGAACACCCATACGAGGAGTGGCGAAAAATGTAACATTTCGCCTGTTCGAACTGAGAGGTGAAGCGCTCTTAGGGTTCCGTGAACTTGAAGCAGCTGTCTTATCACTCGGGAGGGCGAAAATTTGTTGTTCCGGGCCGGTTCTGGTGACACGTTGGCGTTTACCCTGCCCTCAAATCCCCCGGCCATCCCGTTAGGCGCCTACGAAATTGGTGGTCTGCACGAGGGAGAGTCGATGGAGGGGATGGGGTTCCGAGCTGGCAGGACAGGAAACTGCCAGGCGCATTCTGGATCCCCCGCCCATCCCTTCGATGGCCCAGAAAAGTGGGTGTTCGCCACGACAGCGAGCCCTCCGAGGTTCGGAGGGGATCGTCAGGCTCGACAGGATTTTGTCGGTCTGACCGGCCCTAAAACCCTGATTTCACCCCTTTTCGAAGGTGCAGGGCGGATTCCAGATCCCCCGCCCATCCCTCTGAAGGCCCAGCAAAGGCGTGGCGAACAGGGCCGAACTGTAGTGTACGGAAAACGTACGCGCTGGACCCGCCCTTATGCCGTTTTCACGGTTGCGGTTCGGCTGCTTGGTCGTTGTAAGCCCCTCGCTATTGCCAACCTACTTGTTGGGTGGGTCTGACTTCACCCTGCGATTTCGGCAGAGTCGCACCGAGGACCAAAGAAGCCGACTGACGAGCTTGACCGGCGTGGTTACCATCCCTCGCCAGCCATTCTCTTCGCAGTGTGTTGTGAGGCAACTCAATGCTACCATGGTAGGGAGTAAAATCCTGCTTTCCAACGCACTCCCAGTAAATCTCCCATCATTTTGGAACATTTTAGGACAGGCTTACGGAAGTATCAACCTACCTACCACCCAAGCAGCTAGCTACCCACCTTTAGCGATCAACTATTTGCGGCACAACCTTCCTGCTGTGGCTAGTTGGTTCCACTTGTTGCGTAGATTTGTTTTGTTCGACTGTTGTCGGAGCTTTAGGTTTCTGCAGAGTTTCGCCTCCTCGATTTCATCAGAGTTGTCCGTAGGTGCCTCACAACAGAGATTAAGGCGGACTCTGGCCAAGACCTTCTGGTTTTCTCTGCGCCATACCGGTAGAAACGGGCTGAAACCGGTTGAGAAAGGCAGTGCTTGTGCTCCGGCGGCATGAACGGCGGTGCGAGCGACAGTCGCAAGGCCAACATGGTCAATGCGGCGACGACTTTCAAGGTGCGACGTTCGTTTCAGCTGATTTTTTTAGCCTTTCAAAAGTCGCCTCGTTCAAGTAGAACGGGTTTCAAGCTGCCGACGATCGTAGTTATGCTCAATGTATCGGAATCGGCGATGACGGACTGAAGCCTTTTTTTTTAAGGTTCAAAATTTGCGGGTCTTGCACAGACAGTTCAACCATTTGTCACAACGGCCACCAATCGTATTGGAATGCACATTCTGTTCAAACATGGTACATACATGTTCATTTTTTTAACGTGAGCTGTATAATAACATACCGCGTACGCTAACATCCTGGTTCATGCTCTCATTGCGCATTACTTACGCGGTGCGCGAATCGCGAAGTATGTAGGCCCCACGTAAGTTCGTCTTTGAATTTATGTCCCTTCGCCTGCTCATTCCCCCCGTTCCGCTAAACCTCGCGATCTTCACTCTCACTATGCATCTGCGTTTCAGAATTTCCAATTCGACTTCGATCTCGGGGTGTCGTCTGGATCCGGCATCGGAGGGGGCGGAGGTCGGTTGGGAACGGCAGGCGGCAGTCTCAAGGACCAGAAGCTCGGCGGCGGTTTGGTGAGTCGGTCAACTACGGAACAGATTAGTTGTTCGGTTGTTGGTAACCCGGTCGCTTTCGCACTGCTTGTTTTCTTCTGCTCGCTCGGAGGTCAATGGGGAGCGGCAGGCGGCAGTCTCAAGGACCAGAAGCTCGGCGGCTCGGTGAGTCAGGCAACTGCAGAGCAAATGAGTAACCGGGTTACTGGTAACCAGAACCACGACTAGCAGCAGGGGAGGCAGCAAGCGATTCTTGAGGCGTCTCAGAAGTCGTTGTCTCAAAGGGAGAGGTCAACAGCAGTATCCAGTCTGTCTTCTAGCGCCTCTCATGCTTCGCTCACCCCCGTTTCTCCTGCTCTCCGCCCCTTCCGCGCTCCTCCGCCCTCTTCCGCCCCCCTCCCGCCCCCCCTCCGCCCCCCACCGCACCCCTCCGCACCCTCCGCCCAATCTTTCCCCCTTCCGCTCAGGGTGGCGGAGGACGACCAGGCGGGGGGGGCGGTTACGCGCAGGGCGCCACCTCGTGGTCCACAGGCGGAGGCGGAGGGGGAGCAGCGCGCGCGCCCCCCGCCTCCGCCAGCTCCTATGCGCCGAGCGCCCCAGGCGCGCAGGCGCAGAAGCAAGGGGGAAGCGGAGGAGGACCCAGCTGGGTCCCTCTGGGGCAGTCCGGAATTGGCAGTGGGGGGAGGGGGGGAAGCGGGTATGGGGGGATGGGGATGGGGATGGGGATGGGGATGGGGGGAATGAATGCCAAGCCTCTTAACTCCTCGCTGTCGTCATCTGGTGCGTCAGCAGCAGCTGCAGCTGCCAGCAAGGCGGATGACGTGTTTGCCAGCCTGTGGAGCAGTGCCACTGCCTCCGCGCGACCCGGGGCGTCCACGTCATCGTCCACGTCAGCGTATGGAGGCGCCGCCAGGGACAGCGCGGGAGGGGCATCTGGGGGAGGTAGATTTGGGGGAAGTGGAGGGGGAGGGGGAGGGGGAGGGGGAGGATTTGATCCGTTTGGTATGGGCGATTTACGGAGCTCCGTTCCCAAAGCTGGCTCGTCAGGAGGAGCAGGTGGTTCAGGCAGTGGATTTGGTATAGGATCAGGATCAGGATCCGGAGTGGGAGCAGGTGGAGGTGCAGGATTCGGAATGGGTAGTGGGATTGGCAGTGGCGGTGGTGGTGGGTTAGGCGGTCAGCCCATGAGGGGCAGCGGCGTTGGAGGCCCTTCACTGCGCGCCTCTGCCCCATCTGCCGCGTCTGCTGCCACTTCTGCTTCCTCTGCTGCCTCTGCCGATCCGTTTGCTGCTTCCTGGCCGGACCCTTTCGCCACCGCCACCAGTAGCAGTGGCAGCGGTGGTGGTAACACTGGCAACATGAACAGTAGCAGCAGCAGCAGCGGCGGCGGTGGCATGGCAGGGGGAGGAGGAGTCAGAGCCGCATCCGCGTCTGCAGCAGACCCGTTTGCAAACTTCTCCGCCTCGTTCCCTGCCCCACGCGCCGCTGCCTCCTCTGCTGCTCCCCCTCCTGCTGCCTCTGCTGCTTCTGCCGCCGCCGCCGCTGATCCGTTCGCTGCCTTCTCATCCAACTTGGGGAATTCGCGGCCCCCCAGCAGCTCCCAGCCATCTGCTGCAGCGTCAGGGTCATTCGACCCTCTAGTAGACATGCTTTTCAACCCCAAGCCCTCTGCTGCTGCTGGTGGCTCTGGTGGTGGTGCTGGTGCTGGTGCCGGTGCTGGTTCTGCTGGTGGCTTTGCAGCGGCCAGCAGTGACAGCAGCAGCAGTTTCTTTGGGGCGAGCGCAGGTGGTGTTGATTTTGGGAACCAAGACGCCGGTGATTGGGGAAGCTTCGGGGACGCTTCTGCTTCCGCCTCCACGGAAACCACTGTAGAGCTAGACGGCATCGGGCCGCCGCCAGCGGGAGTCACTTATAACGCAGCGCTCAATAAGGGGACGGAGTTCTACAAAGGGGGGCAGTTCGCGGACGCGATCAAGTGGCTGGTGTGGGCGGAGCAGCTGGCGGAGAGAGGGGGGGCGGCGGGGGGAGAGGGTCTGGTGGCGGTGTTGAGTGCGCGGGCATCATGCTACAAGGAGGCTGGCGAGATGAAGAAAGCCGTTGCAGATTGTACCAAGGTGAGTATGGGAGGTGCATGGGTGGATGGTGCATGGGTGGATGGTGCATGGGTGGATGGTGCATGGGTGGATGGTGCATGGGTGGAAGGTGCATGGGTGGATGGTGCATGGGTGGATGGTGCATGGGTGGAAGGTGCATGGGTGGATGGTGCATGGGTGGATGGTGCATGGGTGGAAGGTGCATGGGTGGATGGTGCATGGGTGGATGGTGCATGGGTGGATTGTGCATGGGTGGAAGGTGCATGGGTGGATGGTGCATGGGTGGAAGGTGCATGGGTGGAAGGTGCATGGGTGGAAGGTGCATGGGTGCGGATGCGATCAAGTGGCTGGTGTGGGCGGAGCAACTGGCGGAGAGAGGGGGGGGGCTGGTGGCGGGCTGACTGCGCGGGGGTCGTGCTACAACAGGAGGGGGGAAGGGGGGGGGGGTGAAGAAGGCACCTTGCTGACTGCAGCAAGGTGAGAAGTGGGGTGGGAAGGGAGAGAGGGAGGGGGGAGAGCAGAGGACGATGGGCTGCAATTGGCCCCTCTGCTCACACACTGCCGGATGGGGTCCAAGTGTGTGAGCCTTAGTGATTCCATCTCCGCTCTTTCCCCGTCTCCCTTCCCCCTCCCTCCCCACATGATGATGCTGCAGGGTTTTTTTTTAGAATTCTAAAGAAAAAACCCTACGAGGCAATGAAGGAGTAGAAGCTGGGAGAGCCTGACCTGACCTGCGCCTGCTCTCCCTTCAATTCAGTGCCCCTTACCCACCCCCACAGGGGATCAGAGAGCGGAAAATACAGCTGTGTTTAAGTCGACTCAAAACACGGCTCATTTAGAGTTGACTCAAGACACGAGCTCGAGGCAGTAAATGCAGAGGGCGTGTCTGTACGAGGCGACGGAGGAGTACAAGTGGGGGTGGCCGGCTGACCTTCTCTCACTTCTCTCTGTCTGGCCTACCCTTACCCACTCAGGTACTGGAGATTGAACCAGAGAACACGGCAGTGTTGATGCAGAGGGCGTGTCTGTACGAGGCGATGGAGAAGTACAAGCTGGGCGTGGCAGACCTGCGCCTGCTCTCCCGCCTTGACCCCTCCAACCGCGCCATTGCCACGAGCCTTAACCGCCTCAACAAGGCACTTGCTGCTCTGGGGTGATGACAGCAGCAGCAGGGGCTGGAGGAGAGGGGCAATAGCAGCAGGTGCAGGGTTGGGTTTGGGAATGTTTAGGCTGAGAGCTTTGGGAGATAAGGGGTGTGTCAGGGAAAGGACGGGGAAGCGTGGGTTGAGGTGATTACTGGCTGCGGGTGGCAGACCTGCGCCTGCTCTCCCGCCTTGACCCTTCCAACCGTGCTGTTGCCACGAGCCTCAACCGCCTCAACAAGGCACTTGCTGCTCTGGGGTGATGACAGCAGCAGCAGCAGGAGGGGGAGGAGGAGGAGCAGCAGGAGAAGGTGCATCGTTGGTATTTGGGTTGGTTGGGCAGAGAGCGGTGGGGGAAACAGGTGGGTTATGGTAAGGATATGGGAGCTGCCTAAGGTGAGCGCAGCAGCATCAGGGGTTGGGGTGTGGGAGCTCCCACGGATGTGGTAGCTGCCCTGGGGTGCGAGCAGCATCAGCAGGGGTTGTTGGAGGAGCAGTAGCAGCAGGGGTGGTGTGGGAAGGCCAGGGATAGGCATGGTTGGGCAGATGAGTAGGATATGACAGGGGTGGCAGAGCTAACAGCACCGCTTCTCACCCATCTGGACCCCTCGAACTGCACCGGCCGCTGCAGCAGGCTGTACCAGTTCAAATCAGGCCAGTGCTTGCAGTTACTACGAGGGGGTGTGGCAGGAGTTCTGTGGAACAGTAAGCGGCAGTGCCGCGCCGCCTATCCTTTCAGGCTGAAATGGCAAGTGCTTGTGGCTGGAATCACGTGGGGTGGACTGGTGAAGGGTCGTTTTGGGTTGGGAATGGAGGTAGTTGTGTGACTGGAGAGAAGATGGGGGTGGGGTTTAGCTGTAAAAAAAATCTGTTCTAGGATTATGTAATTGCAGGACAAGGCAAGAGAGCTTGGTTAACAGGAAGGGGGATCTCACTAGTTGCCTACTTTGTAATGGCAAACATTTTCATTTCAAGAGGCTGAAGTTCGTTGCCTACTCCACACTTGCAAGACAAATTGATAACTATGGTTGCCCGCTCTTTTAGTAAATATTTTCATTTGCACATTATGATACATCCAATTGTTGTAGCAAAGATATGGACACATCTCCTTATCCAAGAAGACAGCATGCATTTCATAAGTCAGGGTTCAAAGGTTTGGGGAGCCATTATGTCTAGAGGCATCCCAAAGCCTTGAACCCTACTCAAACTTTATGCCCCCCATCAAACCAAATCCAGCTACGGTAATTACCCACTACATTGTCCCTGGCAACTACGCCAGGGTTACGTTACCCAGCAACTTTCAAACAACTAATTCCGGCAGCGATTCTGGGAAATGGCGTCAGAAGCCGCAGCACCAGCAAGAGCCGACCTTGTTCCCCTGTCCACTCTGCTTCTCGTTACCACGCTTCTCCCTCATGCGCAACTCAAGCAACCAGCACATAGAAATTTCTTCTTGTTCTTGTTCCTAATCCCTTCTCATCGCCTTAAGCCTTGCCCTTCACGAGCTTATAGACGCGCGACGCGAGCCAGATGGATTCCGCGTTCTTCGCGACAGCGACGCCAGCAGCAGCTCCCGCAACCGCGCCGGCAACCGCGCCAGCCATGGCCCCCGCAGCAGCAGCGGCCTTTACGTCAGCTCCTTGCTTCTTCTTGTTCTCTCCTCCCTGCATCTCCTGCTCCTGCCCCTTGCTGTTCCTAATCGCCGCGGCTTCGCGCTGGAAAACTTTAAGGACGTCTTTAGTAGCCATCTGCAGAACGATGTGGATGCACCGCTTGAAAAGGTCGGGCGGCGCGACGGACGGCTGCACCACCTGATGCAGCACGAGCCGCGATGCCACGCGCGCGCCGTCGGCCGGAGTCGTCGCGCTCGTCGTCGTCGTCTTCGCAGCGAGATCTGCGGCGGAATCACGCTCTGGGCTGCTGCAGGCGCTGCTGCTATCCCAGTCGCTGGCCGGATGGAAGGTATCGGAGAGCGGGGAGGACGGAGCGGAAACGGTGTCGGAATCGGTGGAAGCGGAGGAAGTTGCGAAAATGGTGGAAGTGGCGGAGGTGGCGGAAGCGGCGGAGGCGGAGGCGGCGGCGGAGGCAGGAGTGGCGGAAGCGGGGACAACGAGCGGCTCGACCTGCCAGAAGCCCTCGAACTTGCGCATGAGACCGGGGCGCGTTAGTTCGAAGGACATTTTGCGGTTCGGGCGGTCGTGCTCCATGCGCATGTGCGCGTCGAATGTGCCTGTAAAGAAGGGCAGCTGGAAGGCGAACACCATGTCCATCTCGAGTTCCTTCACCCCGTTATTGTCACTAATAACCCGCTCGTTCTTAACAGACTTGATGTTCTTAAAGACGCGGCTGTTGTGCGGGTCGCATACGATGGAGAAGACGACGTCTGGAGGAAGGCCGACGGTCGCGACTCCGTCGAGTTGACAGAGAGCGTTAGAGCCGACGGAAACCGTCATCGAAGGCGTCTCGTCGACCCAGTCGGGATTTTGGAACCACGCGGCCAGCTCAGCCCGCATCGCGTCTTCCCAAGGCTCGGAGACCGAGGCAGAAACGGCAACGGTCTGCTGAGTAGCAGCATCAGTAGCACCCATGATGGAGTGGTGATGATGTGGTTTACGATGGTAGCGAGTGATGCGGAATGGACAGCGGAGCTTGAGCGGGAGTGCGGTTGGAGATGGAGATGGACGGCGGAGACTGTGGCAAGGTGCGGAAATGAGACAAAAGCTCAAGAAAGTGGTGTCGGAGAGGAGTTACAACTGGAGTCGGATGAAGGTGGAAAGCTTCTCCCTTCACCTAGAATGGATCTGAGGGAGGACTGGTGGATGAAGTCGAGTTGGAACTTGGAAGGCGAAAAGACTTGAAACTTTCGGATGGGAAGTTAGAACATGTGGAGGGATTTTGTAGTTGCAGTTGACAGACTGTCGTTTGGAGCTTGATTGGTTGACGCGCCGATTCTCTCCTTCCGGAGTGGTTCAGAATTTCGTCGGTGGATGGACAAGCGGCTTCGCACGCGATTTCGCTTGCCCACGGCGTTCCGAAACGGCAGGCGCACCGTGAGAATTGTTTGTGAGTGACTCTACGGAACGGAAGGGGAGGGGGAAGAGGTCGCAGCGGTGATCTACTGTAGCGGGTTGAAGAAACAAAAACATTCTGACTCCGTGCAGCGAGTTGGGAAAGAATGGAAACCCCAGACTCCCAGACAGGGCTGTCGATTCAAGGGCATTTTCCCTTAATGCCCTGAGCATTCTGGGTTATGTTCAGCGCAGGTCGACCATTTTAAGGGTTCTATTTTACTGGCACCCGTGCCAGTTAAGGACATCGTTTGGCCCTTCCCCGGACGCGTTAAGTGCTCAATCTGGGCCGTCCCCTGAATCTAAGTTCTACTTTCGATTCCGCAGACCCCCCCCCCCCAAAATCTTGCGAAATACCCCCTCCCCCTACCCCCCCTTTCCATGAAAGTTGCACAATAAGGCGCCAGGTGGAGGATGTTTCACTCGATTTCCATCCAATCTAGTGTGTGTGTAGTGTCGAAGTCAGCAGATGATTAGAAATGCAGTAGGCAGTGCAGCTATAGTTGTAGTTGGAAATTGTGACATACAGGTTGACTGGAGTAGTTAGTAATGAAACGTATGTGATTTTCTTGTATAGGACGCTGTTTAGGTTGGTAAGTACACAACACTTTGGAGCCTGGATTTCAAGTTTACACTTCGGCCTGCACCCGCGACCGTTAAGGGCAAAAAATTGGTCACCTCGCTGAAAATCAGGGTCAGAATTTCAGCAGCTGAGGGCCTCAAGTTCTGCCCCCAGGGATATCGACAGCCCTGCTCCCAGACCAGCCAGAATTGCTGCCATGCCTTTGTCAAGGCTCGGATTCTGTTTGCCACGGGCAGCGCGAGTGTGTGTAACGTGGAGGTAGCAGATAGGGACACAGCCATGTGTCAAGCCTGTACGTTTCTTTCTGAAGTTCTGCCCGAATCCCAGCCCGAACCAGACAGTGTCCAGAACTTGGCATGCTGGTCATTGAAAAACCTGGCTACCTGGTTATTGAAAACAAATCACATTTCATCCTGTGTGTACTCGAACACTACTACTTTCGGAAAAATCGTGGGTTCACATTCCAGACACCATTTTCCCGAGGCAATGCAACGGGTGTGGTATGGCCTGCGTCGATTAGATAGTGGTTGCGGCGCTGTAGAGCTGCCCGAAACATGTAAAAGCCACTCCCGCAAGCTTGCATGAACGGCGCGCCTGTCGGCTTGCAGTTTGTCGATGTCAATGAAAGATGACGTTTCCGTGATTCTGATGGCAAATTAGTCGGCTGCAGTTTGGCGAAACTGGTGGTGGTGGGATGGCGATGCTTTTACGCGTGTGGGAGAGGCGCGACACGCTCCTGGATGGCACGAGAAGCTGCTGGGCAATTGTCTTTTCTTACCCGAAGAGTTTTCCACTGCCGTGTCGGTTCATTGCTTGCTTTGCCGTCGGTTCGGGACTCAGTTCGGGGAGCTGACGGTAGGCTTCCGTACCGCATCCCACACCAGGCTAGCCACGCCACGACGGCAACCAACCACAATCCAATATACTCCACATAGACTCGGTTCGCAAATGGTGTACAAAGTCCAACATTGACATGTTGTGACACTTGCACTTATTTCACATCACATCACCACCACAAGAAGAGCATCCGGAACAAGTTTGGACAGGGCCAAATCTCCCCCCATATGCAACCAATCAACCTTGAGCTCTTGCTTTTTGTATGCATTGTTACTTGCCCTCTCCTCTTTCTCTTCAACTGGCCGTTGCATTTCAACCTCACTGTTTTCACTGCTTAATGTCTCCCAACCCTCCTGCTCTCCATCCAAAAAACTTCTGCCCTTCGTGCATGTTCCCCGCAGACCTTCCTTGCTTATCGTCCCCGTCACCACCTCCAAACCCCGGCCTACCACAAAAAGACGATTGTTACCATCCGCGGCCATGCGCAGGGGTGGGTGGAGGAAGAGGGGCAAAGGAGGGCCGGTGACCAGCTGCCACTTGTCAGTAATTGGGCAGTAGGAAAAGAGCCTGGCGGCAAGGGATCGCAGGAATTAATGGGATGGATGGGGGAAGAGAGGAAGGGGGGAAGGGAGGAGGTGGTGATTGAAGGGAGAGGGTTTGAAAAGAAGTGAGACGAGGAAAACAAAGATGCGGTGGTGAGAAGGAGAGGACAAAATTTCGAACGAATGGGCAGATCATTGGGAAAGACTTTTGAGGCGCCTCAAAAGAACGAATGGGCAGATCATTGGGAAAGGGGCAGATCATTGGGAAAGGGGCAGATCATTGGGAAAGGGGCAGATCATTGGGAAAGGGGAAGCAAAACCGAACCTTCACCTGAAACAACTCACCTCCACCGCTTTCCGTGAAGGTGAGTTTTGAGACGTCTCACAAACCTCCACCCCTTTCCATGAGAGAGAGGACGCCTCAAAACCTTCACCCTTTCCCATGAGAATGAGTTTTGAGACGTCTCACAAACCTCCACCCCTTTCCATGAGAGAGAGGACGCCTCAAAACCTTCACCCTTTCCCATGAGAATGAGTTTTGAGACGTCTCACAAACCTCCACCCCTTTCCATGAGAGAGAGGACACCTCAAATCCTTCACCCTTTCCCATGAGAGTGAGTTTTGAGACGTCTCACAAACCTCCACCCCTTTCCATGAGAGTCACAAGCATGCCATGCACCACTGCACTTCACCTTCTCCTGCTAAGTCTGAGTCGCTCTTGAGACTCTCAAAAGCGACCCATGAGAGTCATAAGCATGTCATGCACCATGGCATACCCTCCTGCCCATGCTCTCACCCAACAACAAACCTCACAAGCCACCACCCAGCCCAGCACGACGGTACCCACACTGGTGCCATGACTCAACGCACCTCCATGCACCACAGATCACCGCGCACGACCACCTCACATACCATTGGCACGCACCTGCGAGTCTTCCCATCATGCACCAGAGTGACAAGTGAGCCGTGCACCACAGCACTCACTCCAGTCCGCGCCCTAACCTGAACAGGACCACACCCCTGATGTCACCCACCAGCACCGCACAACACCGCCTTGAATGCCCCCACCCCGCACCTGCGAGTCTTCAACTCCTGCACCAGGGAGTGATTTTTGAGAATCTAAAAAATCACCCACAAGGAGCACAAGCGTGTCATGCACCACCGCACACACTCGTGGGCATGTTCTTACCCAATCGGAGGCATGTGCGTACCATTCCCAGGCAAGCTTTCTGCACACCACAGCGTGACAAGGCACCTCACATGCCCTAGAACGCACCTGCGAGTCTTCCCCTCGTGCACCAGGGTCACAAGCGTGTCATGCACCACAGCACTCACGCCTGTCCATCCCTCCGCCATGCCTTCAGGCATCGGCTCCCACACTGCTGCAACGCCACTCCGCCCCACGCCTTGCCCTTCCGCCCTGCCCTGCCCCTCCGCCATGCCTTCAGGCATCGGCTCCCACACTGCTGCAATTCCACTCCGCCCCACGCCCTGCCCCACGCCCTGCCCCACGCCCTGCTCCACGCCCTGCTCCACGCCCTGCCCCACGCCCTGCCCCACGCCTTGCCCCACGCCCTCCCCCACGCCTTGCCCCACGCCCTCGCCCACGCCCTGCCCCACGCCCTCCCCCACGCCTTGTCCCATGTTTTGCCCTTCCGCCCTGCCCTGCCCCACTCCCATGCCCTCTGGTCCTATGATTTCTCCTCCTGCACTGCTTGCTTCCCGTCTACCCCCCTCTCCCCCCTCTCCTCCTCGTCCCTCTCCTTCTCCCAGTCCCCGGCCAATCAAAGCACCCCCGTGTCTCCTTTGACCTCTAAGCCCCTCCCTTTCCGTTTCCTGGATGAGCTTAGAAAGAGGACAGGAGAACCCACGGGGCGAGAAGTGAAACGGCCACTGCCACCCTTCCGTCAAAAAGAGGGTCTCTCCCAAACTCGCCGCCCCAAAGCTAGAAAATGCCAAAGGCAGCGGTGGGATGGACTGCCACGTGTCAGTCTCTGGTTGGTAGACTTCAGCTGATTTGATCTCCTCGAGCTCTGCTGCATTGCCTCCTGCCACTATTATTTTTCCACGGGCAGCCCAGGAGCCAAAAAATCTGCGGGGAGTGATGAGGTTGGCCAACTGGGTCCAGCGGGCAGTTTGAGGGTCGTACCTGAAATTGCGGATAGGGAGATGGAGAGGGGGGTGTGAGGAGGGTGGGGGGAGTGGGGGGACGAATAGGAATGGCAGGCGTGCTACAGCACATATAAAATGATGCCAGAGATAAATAAAGAAAAAGGAAGAGAAAACAAGCGAAGATGTGGGAGGGGAGAGAGTCACGGCATAATTCAGTGACCAAAAAGCTGAACAAAAAACAAGATCTGTTAAACAAGCACGGAGGGCGTTATGCAATGCACATAAACAACCAACTCAGCTTACATGGGTGAGCAGAGCAGTGTGTCACTTCAAATCCAGTCATAGCCTCACCTTTTTGTTAACACAAACATGCACACACAAATCACACCTGACTCGTGCAAAACCTTTTCTTTGCCCCTCACCTGAAAGTGTCAGCCAATGGAATTTTGCGGTCAGCCCCTGTTCCTCCAATCATGTAGAGACACCTGTCAAGTCCCACACACCCCACTCCCGAGGCTTCCCATTGGCTAGTGCCACGTGGGTGAGGGAGTTTCCGCCATCCAGCGCTCTCTGCAAATGCGTGCCACTCGAAATGTTTTCTCGGCTGCCCGACTGCCCGGACGAACAGCCACGGCTCGAGGCGATTGGCTGCTGTTCGAAGGCGCAGGCAGCGGGGGCTGTCTAGAAACTCTTTCCATGCCTGGTTCACTTGCCTGGGAATAAAGGATACGGTGATGAGGTAGCGGGGGGCGAATAAAGGGATTGGGGGAGGAGGAGGAGAGGGAGACGAGCAAGAAGGGGCAGGTAATACAGTAACTAACATCGTCCCCTGCCCTTCCAAAACATAGGTGCAGCTCGGGTTCAACAAAGTTGCAACAAAGGTGGAACCAAAGTAACGGAAACAGGACTCTCTAAAAAAACGCACCCACCCACCAACCCACCCACCCATGCACACTCGATCGCCCTCTCCCTCTCCCTCTCATTCCAAACTCAAAATTCTGATCGACCAGACACACGCACACGCACGCATGCCATACCTGCATTGCTGTAGGAACGCTCGCGGAAGCCGGATGAGGCATAACTCCGCCACGTCATCTGGTAGCCCTGGAAGGAGAGGCTGCCACGTGGCACTACAGACGGAAAGCGCCTCCCCTTTGCGCTTACACAGGGGGCCGGCGCTCTGTTCATTTTGGAAGGCGCCGTGATTTTTGGGAGCGTAACTTCCGCGAGCTTCGCGGGCATGAGGTGTAAGCGGATTAACAACTGCTGACGTGTCTTGTGACAGAAAGTGAGTTGACGGATCGGCTACTACCGGCTCGTGTGACAATCTGACAAGATGTCGTGCCTCGAAGTTCTGCACGGCGCGAGCCGTGCTAACGTCAGACGGCTGCTGTGGGGGCGCCGTCTGCTGCAGCCGGCTAGCCGCCCATTTCCGCCAGTTGACGGCCGTCAACTCGCCGAAGACAGGTCCTGATTTTCCGACGGGGCTGTGCGGAAGATTCGACGCCAAAATTTGTGAAGATTGCGACGCGAGAGCGGGGCCGTCGGGGTTATCGACTACAGCGGATGACATTGGCGCCGGGTTTCAGCGCGCCGCGCCTTGACGATGCCCGCGCGCCGAATGGAACCTCAGGAACGGCTGCGGAGGGAGAAACTAAAAATGGGCTGATTAATCGTGAAGGGACGCCGAAATGAGGAACAGGAGAAAGTGGAGCTACTAATGAGCAGTGCTTTTTTATATTTGCCTCTGAGCTGAGATGTTTGAGATGGATGGGGAGTTCGGGAATTTGGGAAACAGGAAAGAACGAGCACAGGGGGTGAATAGAACATAAACGTCAAATGACGACTGGCGAGAATGGTCTGGTTACCAGTTCTGTTTGATGCAAATGTACGAGTGGCTGATGCTCCAGTCATATGTCATTTACGAAGCGTGATTTGAAATTTGGTCCAATAGGAAACTTGATGCTTCTGTCGAAATTGCAACCAGAGACGAAAAGCCTTGCAAGGGGATGATATGTGTCGTGCGACTCGCCCTGAGATTGCCGAAATAGTCGCTGACGGTGACATGCACAGGCTCAGACAGGTCTCTGGATCGTGAATGTGACGGACTGACTAGTTTGTCAAGAACAAAATAATGGTTCCAAGTATTTCTGGGGAGAGTGAGGAAGCTATGAATATGTGAACCTTTGAGAGTGGAGAATCTCTGAATCATTTCCATCACTTAGACAAACCTTTTAGCGTGGATACGAAGAACCTGTCAGGCACATGCCACATGGCTCCAGCACACATCCCGCCACGCGGCATCCAGTCAGCTTTGTGATCGTGTGGACGGATCCATCCGCGTTGACAGAATCTGGACAGCCACACACCGTCTCCACGCCTCGTCATCCATTCACATCCAAAATCCATCAACCGTGCAAGAAAACCACTATCTCAAATTAATGACCGTTCGATTCAGGAAGGGCGCTTCCGTTGGAGAATACTCACCCTTCGTTCATATCCAACATCCATCCTAGAATGAATTGGAGAAGCGCGTGTTCAAGCCGACGTACTAGCAAAGCAAGTCTCAAAATAGGTGCCACATGAGTTGGAGAAGTGCGTGTTCAAGACGAGGTACAGCTATCGCTATTCGCAGCCTGTGTAAATCGAAAAAATTGGGGATCGTTTTGCTTCGCGAGACGTCTTATTGAACGTCTCCTCTCGATCTGGTTTTAGAACCCGCGGGCATGACAAGAGTAGGCAAAATTAGGACCAGAAACACACACCGAGGCACTAATCAGCTTCAAAGCGTTAGCGACGTTTACGGAGAATAGAAGCCCGCTACCGCACGCCAGCTTCGCTCCATTCTGCTGCATTGTGCGAGCCGCGTGCCCACATTGCTAGATAGACTACCGTGCGGCAGCTTTGCTCTATTTTTCTTCACAACCAAACTCAGCAGTCCCCAAGAGCCTTCTCGCACGCACGCCAGGAACGTATCGCATCCTCTTACATCCGAATTCGCTTAAAGCGGAAACCTGCGCAACGTCATCTCGTTAACCACCCTCAGGCTGCATTAGAATCAGCCATGGCTTGCGCAGTCCCCCTCACTCACTCCCTCGCGTCGGCTCCTCACGCCGTCGCCGCCGCCGCGTCTCCCGCTGCCACCAAGCCGAAATCCGCGTCGCCGCTTCTCGCAGGCAACGTGGGGCTCCGCTCGTCCCGCGGCGCGATCTCGTCGGCGGCTGTCAGCGTGTCTGGCGCGGCACCGTTGGCACTAACGGGCGGCGCCTCCGGGCCGCCGCGTGTGACTATGGCGAGCGCGTACATCTGCCGGGACTGCGGGTGAGCGCTTGCGTTAATTTGTTGCCGTGCCGCCTCGAGGCGACTCAGATTACGTATCAGCTTTTTATTTTCTTCGTCTCAAATAGCGTGGAATTCGCATCCGCATGTCGCTTCCCCCCTCCCCCGCCCCACCCCTCTTCCCCCCGCCCTTCCACATGCGACCCTGTCTCCCTCCCTGCGCGCGTCTCTCTCGCTCCGACGATCCGCAGATACATCTACAACTCGCGGTCGCCCTTCGAGAAGCTTCCAGACACCTACAAGTGCCCAGGTGAGGCGCCTCGAAGAATTAGACTCCTATTATTGCCCAAAATGCGACCTTTTGTGGAAAATTCCACGTGCGTTTCCGCCTCCTTTCGAAACCATTTAGTAATTTAACAAAAATCCATACACGATATTGACCACAAGATCTGTGGTTTAAGTTCCGTGTTGAGCTCCTTTTGCGATGCCGAAGCTGTCTATACGCGATACTGCTAATCGATAACCCAATTGATGTGCTCCGTCACCCCAGCACTCCTGTCGTTGTAAGTTGCATTATTGTTTTCAGATACCAGAGTGGTAACAAGTGCGCCTCTCACCTCCGCAACGCCCTTGTTCCATTCTTTGTGTCACTGTTGAGCTTTTTTTCGAAAGTGACACAAAGAGCAGTAAAGCGTGCGCAGCTCCTTCTCTCTAGCACCTTCCGCAGATCTCCGGTACTTTCGTCTTGCGCATAACATTACGAGAAATGTGCCCCTTGCACCCACTAAAAGATCTCACCCGTCTCCCACCCCCGCTCCCTCTCCCCTCCCCTCCCCTTCTTCCGCACTTCCCGCCCCCTTCCCCGCCTGCGCCCCCGCTATTCCTCCGCCTCCCCCCCCCCGCCGTACACTGCGCCCGTGGCCTCAAATCCAACTCTTCTCCGCACTCTCCCCCTCCTTCCCCGTCCCCCCCCCATAAAGTGTGCTCCGCCCCCAAGCGCCGCTTCAAGCCGTACACTGTGCCCGTCGTTCTCACCCACTCTCCCCCTCCTTCACCCGTTCCCCCCCTTCCCCCTCCCACGTCCCCCCGTCCGTCCCCCTCACCCTCCGCCAGTGTGCTCCGCCCCCAAGCGCCGCTTCAAGCCGTACACTGCGCCCCTCGCCTCAAATCCAACTGCTCTCACCACTCTTTCCCTCCTTTTACCCCTGCCCCGCGCCTTTCCCCTCTCCACCTTTCTCCAGTGTGCTCCGCCCCCAAGCGCCGCTTCAAGCCGTACACTGCGCCCGTCGCGCGCAACGCCAACGACCTGGCGGTGCGGAAGGCGCGCAAGGCGGAGCTGCAGGGCGGGGGAGGCGGGTGAGTTGGGGGATGGGGCGAGAAGGGGGTGCAGGAAAACGAGTGACAACGGGGGGAGAAAGGGGAGTGACGGGGGAGTGAGGAGGGAAGGGGACGTGTGGGAGTGACGGGGGAGTGAGGAGGGAAGGGGACGTGTGGGAGTGACGGGGGAGTGAGGAGGGAAGGGGACGTGTGGGAGTGACGGGGGAGTGAGGAGGGAAGGGGACGTGTGGGAGTGACGGGGGAGGAGCCGTCAACCACTCCTCTCAAAAGGTGTCGTGGGCCTTCTGAACGTGGCGAACGTGGGAGCGTAGGGGGAGTGTTGTAACGTGGTGAACGTGGGAGCGTAGGGGGAGTGTTGTAACGTGGTTACTTTTGAATCGACTCAAAACAGAAATCACCTCGGGGGGGGGGGGGGGGGGGGGGGAAGAGCCGTCAAACACGCCTCTGAAAGAGGCAGGAGTCAGGGCATGGAGAGGTGCAGAGGAAGAGCGGAGGTGGTGGGTATGCAGAGGGGAAAGACCCACCTCTCCTTGCCCTGATTCCTGCCTCTCCTCTTCCTGATTCCTCCTGTTTCTCTACTTGTGCTGTCTCAACAGTTTCCCCTCTCTTCGACCACCTCCTTGCCATTCAATTCATGCTGCTCCCTCATTCCCATACTATCCTACCCCCCCACCGTCACCCTTTTCCCCACTGCCCTGATCTTGAGGAGCCGTACAATTACCCTACCTCCTTTCCATTTGATACCTCATTCCCTACTAACCAACCGCCCATTCATTGCTACCTCCTCACCCTTATCCCCACTCTCCTGTTCCCCATCCTCCTACTTCCGCATCCTCCACCCCCCCATCTCTGTCTCCCCATCCTCCCCCCTATATCCTCGTTCTCCCGCTACCAGCGCCTCGCTCCCAGTGCTGGTGGCGGGCATGGTAGCAGCACTTGTTGGTGTAGCTGTCTACCTTAACTCGGCCTACTAAGTATCGCTGACATCCAAATTTGGGTACCGCATGTGCTGCTGCACTAGTTGATTCATTACTGTCTGTCTCAGTGGATCCATTTTTTTGTCATGTCTATTCCAGGAGAGCAATACATGATCTTTTGCAAGTTCAAACGTTGGGGTACCCATACATATCAACCCTTACCCACTTCTGCACCCCTGCATAACAGCAGGAAACACAAAAAACCCTGTTTTTTTTTATGCATTCAATA